TATTATTAAAAACTTTATTTAAACTTAATTTTAACGAATCATTAGTTTTAATTACATCTAATTTTTACAACTTTTAAGCTGATAAAGTTGATCGAACTGATAAAACCAATGAAATTATTAAAATTACAATTTTTACAAAAATACACGTTTATTATAGGGAAATTCTATGTGCAGGGCTCAAATGCAATCTGACGCAAAATTTTTTTTTTTGTAATTGTAGCTTAAGAGTTCTTCTACAACATGCATGTATTGGTGTAATCGTAATATTGCGTAATTTTGAGTTAAACTCTTTAAAAAACAATGTAAAATAAGTATTTGCATTTTTTTGTGTGTAAAAAATTATTAAAATTAAAAAAAAAAAGAAATAAAAATTTTTTCTTAGTAAATTTGAAAGCCGATGACTTTTTAAACATTTTAAATTAAAAAAAAAAAATTAAGGTTTTTAATTAAGCAGGAAAAAATGATTGAAGAAATAATAAAAATCCTAGAAAAAAAACAAAAAAATACAGTGTTATGATATTTAAATAGCACCCAACCATTACTATATCAACTTTTGGCCTTGAATTTTTGTACATGACCTTATAAGGATATAATAAAAAAAATTTGCTAAAAAAAAAATTTTTATTAGTTGATTTAAAAATGGTACTTTTGGCCGGCTATATCAGCGTTTGGTGGTCCCACTGTGCGTCACCTCAATCATCGAATATTATGTAATTTTGTCATTTTTAGCTTATAAACTTAATGTTTGCTATCGCTCATCATTGAAAAGTTTACAATAATAATGTGTAGAGAGTTTTGAAAAGATTCAGTTTGTTGTTGCAATGTACAGTAACATTGTAATATTTTTCATTATAAGGAAGAATTCATTCTCCAAAACTATAACCCTTAGAACAATAAAAGTCTAAAGTGAATTTTTTGTAGTCTTATGTTTTTTTTTAATAACCAGTCATTGATAATGTTTTATAATGTTACTGAAATAGAAAGAAGCTATAAAAATACATAAACATGAAATCTTATAAATGCAAAAACAAAAATATTTTGAAGCCATAAAAATAAAAAAATATTGAGAATATTGAAATTTTTCCAGGGAACCAAAAATTATTATAAAACAGTTTATTATTATTTGGCCGGCTATATCAGCGTTTGGTCCCACTGTGTGACGCCGGTTTTCCCAAGGAAATTTAAGTTTTTAGAGTGAAATCTGATTTAAAATAAACAATTTCATAAATTAATATTTTGATAAAAATAAGCATTATACATACCTAAAAAAATCATTATCTATCATTCGAAAATTATTGGTAACTAAAACAAATTCATGAGAATTTTACATCGCTATATTTGTTAATTATTTTAGTATTGGTTTGTGAATAGATATGGTCATGTTAATAAATTGTTTGCCGAATGTAAACAAGCTACTGATTTTATGGTTAGAAAAGTTGGTACAATATTTACAGTTAACATATAATACTACAAACAGGGAGGTTTTCCATTCAGAGAATATAACTTTAAAGAGGACCACCAATAAGTTCATGTGTACATGGTCACAAAGCCGATTGCCGTCTCTAGGGATTGTCGTTGGGTTCTCAATATAATGGGACAGTGATTGGCAATTTAAAGGCTGAACTAAACTGAGTTTATCCGCGTGAATTTCGATATTCTGCTAAAAGCTCCCCATAATAATACCGTTTACACGAGACTAGCAACTTCATTATATTACATACGCTCTTTGGTCGTGTAACAATAATAACACACGCGACTAAATTGAATTACCCCAACCACAATGATTTTTTCACCCGTTCAAATAGAATTTCGCACATCTCCCTTCTTATAATCGATTTATTTATTAAATTTTGATACAATTGGGTAGTCTCTCAGCAGAAGTTGATGTGAATACCTTGACGTTATTATTGTACGCAAATTGTATTAATCGAGACTAATTGCCAGAGAATAGTTTTTGTAATGATAACTATATGATAATTATTATTATTTTTTACGGTGTATTCAAGAGTACTGCTGGATTAGTAATAATAGTATTAGTTTATTAAGTATAATAAAGGATGGACATAAGAAAAGTATATTGCTAGAGTACCGGGAACTATGTCTTGGTTGCTTCAAATCAGGACTTCATACACAATAAAGGTAATTAAATTTTACTTATTAATTGTCAATCTTACAAGATGAGTTGATATCAACAACGTCAGTTAAATGACAGTTTTAATTGTACAGTACTTATTGTCATTAGATAATTTTCACCATAAATTGTATGGTAATTAAGGATAAAAATAATAACAATTCTACACATTTTTTAGTTACATCATATATTATATTACATTATAAATTGTATTATTCGATTTATCAAGTATTTAGTGATTTTTAGGCTTAGTATACCTTATAAAAGTAACAAATATATATTTTTTTTTAATGACAACATATATATGCAAATATTTTATACTATTGTATGATTAAAATGATCTAATTAAAAAAATGACTGTCTCAACTTCAAATGAATTTCATAACAATTTTTGACCTAGTATTTCGGACATGGGTATGACTACTTTTATTATTAAGTATTTTCTAACCAATCTTATACTATCACTCAATTATAAAATTACTCATAACATCTGAAAAAAATGATAAAAAAAGTCGACCAGTCATTTTCTATTATACAATAATATTAGCTATCTAACTAGTTAAATGTGTGTTATACAGTTGGCACCCTTTTAAGGTATAAATAATAACTAAAATGTGCATAATAAAAGATAAATCGAGTAATGTACACAACTAAGTAATTAAATAATAGTAATTCCAAGAATTACTTTTGTAAGCAATAAGTGGGTTATGATAAATAAATCACTCTGTATATGGATGTTGGTGAGTTCTTAAATTGAGAAAATTTTTATTTTACTTTTTTTTACTGTCATAATTTTTCAATCAGATTTAATTAATAGTTATATAGTTGTCATTTAAAGGGTACAAGAGNGTTCTTAAATTGAGAAAATTTTTATTTTACTTTTTTTTACTGTCATAATTTTTCAATCAGATTTAATTAATAGTTATATAGTTATCATTTAAAGGGTACAAGAGAGAAATGATATTAGTCTATGTTTTCGATTTTGATTTTATGGTTTGATTGAATAACCCATTAGCAATAGTATCAAGTAATGAAATCTTTTAAATGAAAAATGTTTTCATTATTTCAGTGTTTATTTTTACCATTAAAATGATAGGAATTTATAAATTTTTGTTTTCCTATAAATGTACAGAAATAGATTATTTCCGTTTTTTACATGTACCCTTTATTTTAAATGCCCGGTCTTCTTGGTAATACATTATATATAGATACATTCCCTTAAAGTGTAAGTCATAAAAACTTGGAAACTTTGGGGTATTCAGGGAAATTAAAGAAAATGTTTACTCAATGATCCAAGTTAAGTGTTGACAGCAAGTACAAAAATCAAGTCGTGTTCACATTGAATATTTTCATAATTATTTTCTTCCGAGCTTAAGTCGTTATTGTTCTTTAATCATCACTATCATTTGACTGCAGTGGTAAACAATGTAGGGACTGTCGCTTGTTGGATAGACATTAGAGTCGTCAAGTCCGTGTTTTCTGACAAATAATAGTAGGCCATTAAATCCGTTTGCAAGTCCCTGGAGAAAAAGCCGCTGGATAAACGGCGCGTGTCTCTATGCCGGTCGGGTTGCCGTCAACGTCCACAGAAGCGGCTCAAAACCCCAGTAATACGAGAATGTCAGAGTTTTAATGCCGCTTAATTAGCCGTCAATGTGCACTATGCCAATTACTAATATTTTTATTGCTAACACGACATCAGGATCTTCTTGAGCACTCTTTTTTTAAAATTGTTAAAAGCGGTATTTATTTTAAAATAATGTAATAATGTATGGTTTTGAAAATGAGAAATCCACAAAAACTTTAATATATCATATCAGATTTTTTAATCGTTTCGTTCATTTAAAAATTTTGATTTTCGAATTTAGAATATACAGGTAGTTACTAGATATATGTTAAATGCAGTTAAATAATAGTATAACATCGATTAATTCATATATTTGTTTAATAGTACTTTTAGCAAACAATTTACAATTCATGATTCTTCATTTCCTATAAAATATGGAAGTCTCTAATAAAGACTATCTACAATGAAATATCAACAATAACTTGATTATGTTAATATGAACCAAAATTGAAACATTGTTCGACAGGAATGTAATATTATAATACAATAAACGGGTAGTACAAGAAAGAAAATGCACTGCGACGAAGATATTTCTGGTGACTATGCGGGAGCCGTTATTACATTGAGAGTTCAAAAAGAATCCTGTTGTAAAACATATTGACTTGACGGGATACATTTTCCCCCGTTTTTAATTCTATTTTAATAATAAAAGGGTGCCTGTGTTTTGATTCGTTTTATGCAGTGCGGACCTACGGGATGGATACGTGCGCTCATAAACGTGTAATATGTATAGGAAATGTTTAATCGGGTTATCGTGTCCACGACGCATGTCATAGTCCTCATCCCAACGGTCTATAATGAAAGCATTAATACGCTATAATAAAAAGCACGTTTTACACAAATTTAAAATGTGTACAATGAATACATGCATAATGGAATAAAAAGAGAACATGGGCGGAGAAGGAAAAAGACTTGGACAAATCGAATCATTTCGTCCGGTTTTCTTTTTGAACGGTAGTTAGAGTCTATACATTGCACACTCAGAATATATAAATATATATGTACACACACAATATGGTTTGTCGAATAAAACACCAAGTAAAGTAGCGCTTCTGGCCGGGAGGGTCGGACGTTTTGTGGCACGTCTACGCTCTTCATTTAGCCCATTGTCTATGTGGCGGTTGCCGCAATTGCTAAGCTCCGGGAATACTAAAGGGGCAAAAGGTTATACGAATGTTTTTCGACCCGAAACACTTCCCTTCGACAGGACGTGGTGTGAGGTACGTATCATCAGCATGAACTCCAAGCAATTCCGTGCAATCTGCTTTTACAGTGCATTTAGAGCCTTATTACAGTGACTTGCTGTTATGAATATTAAATATCACTTGGTAATTTTAAGTCTAATACATTGTATTATTACACAATCATCAGAGTTGGATGTGGTGACCTATTGTGATCTTGGTATTTTTATACATAAATAATACTCAAACAATTATGGTTAATTAGAATAGAATCATGGGCGGCATGACAGATTTTTAAATGCACAGATAGACTGATATTTATCCAATAATATCTATTTATGTTTTTTTTTTTTTATAATGTTGTGACGAACTAAATTATAAGTCGACGTTTCCCAATAATATTTTGTTGAAATAATTTTGTTTCAATAAAATTAAACTTTTAACGTTTGATTGATATTTTATATTTTTATTAAAAATAATTATTTTTAAATATCTAAAATGTCACACTTTACATATAACCTATATGGCCTTTTCATTAAGTATATATGACGACAAGTATTTTCAAGACAAAACATTTTTCACCCTACTTCCTTTTCAGAACAAAACGAATACACGTTCGGTAACAAGGTTAACAACCATTTTATGAATACAAAGGCGTTTTGGCTCATAGGACACAACAATAACCAGCATCAAGGGCTTCCGGTTCTCGTCAACAATGAGTTTAAAAAAACACACCCCTTGACGTTCTGCCCTTATTACATATATGAGTGTGTACACCATGAGACGAACTCATTATGTCAAAAGCCCACTAGATATTACATGAAAACGGATGAAATACATCTACGTTTAGTTGGAACGAGTCTATGACAGGACTCTAAAGACTTTTAAGAGTACAAAGAATGTGTAAACTGAGAGCCTTTTTGAGTATACAGATAATAACCGTTTTAGACAATGTAAAACATTTTAATAGTATCTATCATCCTATATTTTTTATAAGATGATACTTTCCATTAATTAAGATATATACATGGTAATTATGAAAACCGCAAATTAAAGCATATAAAATAAAAAGCAATTTGTTCAACATTGAACTCGTAAGAATTATAAATAAAATTAATCGTTACAATTATTCGTGGTAATTAATAGTAGTTACAGATTTTACTAAACTCAATCATTAATTAAAAGTTAAAACGAATTTATATTTTATTTATTAATAACTATAGGACGTCCATAAATCTTCGAAGGCATTTTCCTAGTAAAAATGTCTTCGTTGAAGTCGCTGTTTTCTTCAAAATCAGCCGGTCGGTACTTAACACCGCTGCTGAAACCGACAGGTGAGTTGATTCTAGGCTTGAGTATCTTTTTAAATTTTCGACAGCTCATGTTGATTAATGTACCAAACACAAATATGCCGATGACTAGTCCTACCACAATAATAAATTGTCGAAGTCGAGTAACGGGTTCATGACTATGGTCGACTGTGACAGTGAACATTGCGCTACAGTTGATGTGTTCATTCAGCTGCGACACCAGTATACCAATTAAATTTTCAGGTTCATTACAACTGTAATTTAATAATAATAATCTAGAAAATCCGTTACTTTGAATTCAAATGATAAAAGTTTGATTCAATAATTTTAAAAATGTATTATACGAGTACAAGTTATATATATATATATATATATTTACTAATGAAAATGTATATTTACCGATAGTATAAAAAATTTTCTGGAACTTCTTTAAATGTTTTATTAATATAATTTGCCATCCAAGACAAATTACAGTCACATATCCATGGATTGCTTTTAGCATCAAAAGTGTCTAATTTTGGCCATGGACACAATTTTGAATCAATGTAACTCAGTGCGTTATTATTTAAAAACAGCTAAAATCATAAATAATTTCAATTAATTAATTAAGCTATCGAAAATCAATTTTACCTGTCTCAAAGACCATTTGTGTTTCATAGATGCATTTCTAAATGCGTCATAGTGAATAAAATTTAACTTTGGATTGTAAGACATTTGCAGAGTTATAAGTTTGGGCAAAGGTGCAAAGGTGCCACTTTCGATATTTGTTAAAAAAGGCATACTACTGATGATTAACTGTTGAAGCTTATCCAAACCAATAAATGAACCGCTGTTTAGATCACTTATAGGATTTGCATTCAAGTTTAAAAAAGCTAGTGGCATTGCTACTATTCCTTTTGGTACTGTCGTGAAGTCGTTACCATTTAAATATAAAACCTCAATATTTGTCTGAGTAAATGAATCTTCCGGAAATTTAGAGAGTCCAACATTGGCTAAATGTAAAGTCTAAAAAAATAAATTATTTTTGAATTGATTTTATTTTAATTAAAATACTAACTTTTAAATTATGTAAAAGGTTTAATGAAATTTCCGTATTTTGATCGATGAATAAAAATGGATTATTATTTAATTCGAGCGTTTCTAGATTAATGAAGTTTTCAAAACAATTGGGTTGAAGTGAATGAATATTGTTATGACCAAGTTTCAATACTTTGAGTGCCAATGGATTTTGTTCATCAGTATTACTAGTTGTCACTTTTCTAAATATCGTTGATTTTAACTGTTCACCTTAAAAAAGAATTATATTTTCAACAATAATTTTTAACTCAAATACTATAAGAAATTTTAAAGCAAGAAAATATGCAATTTTAAAAATAAAATAACTTTAAATGATTTATTTGGAACAAAGACATTTATTTGATGACGTGCTCAGGATTTTTCTCTGGAATACAGTTACATGAAAACAATTTCATTTCTTCATCCAAAATCATATTTTTAACACGTAAAAATATAAATTATGAAAATAATGAACTCTATCCTTTACTTGGCGCTGATTCTGAAACTGACTTCAGATTTGTTCTATCGCATTACGTTTTTGAGATAGTTACTAATTAGTAATAACACGATAATTACACAGTAAAATGGTGATAAAAAAATATAACATTTTTATTTTTTAATTTTCCTCATATAATTATGAGATTTTAATCAACAAATAGATAATTTTATGAGGATCTAAAAAATATTAACTTTGTGCATTTTGAGTAATTATAAAAAAAAATTGTTGTTAATACAATAAAATACAGGAATATCTCGAAAAGGCATAACAAATACTTTTATATATATTTTTTTTTTCAGTATTATTTTATTTTTAAGTAACTGAATAATAAAATGATACGGTTATATATAGTGTCCAGTAAGTAAGGAAACGGGTTTCCATTGTTCGCATTGTTTGTAACAATTGGCTTGTTTCCTTAGTTACTGAACACTCTTTAATACTTTTTAACAATACATACGATGGTGTATTTAGGTTTTTCGTATGACAACTGTATAACTAATTATTTATATAATTATAAAAAAAAGGTTTATAAGCCATTAACTGAATACGATTTGATATTTGATTTATATTTTATACACGTGTTTAATTTTCCATTGATATTTCTAGGGAGCTCCAATATTTAATTGGCACCCTGACCTCTTAAATGTAGCACTGGTAACAGAATAGATAGCAAAAATTATTTACTGTAAGTGTCATTGATTTTTAATGTGCTATTTAGCTATATCTACATATATATTTTATTTATTTAAAATAATAAGTGTAAAAATTATAAGTCTTATCTTGCACAAAAAAGTACATAAATCGGTAGGAAATTGTGTGTTTTCCGCTAAACTAGTGAAATCACTGTTTTTTTAAACTGATTTGATAATAAAAAACACGCTTAAATATAAGATTAACTGGTAATTCTTAAAACTCTTGAAACGATTAATATTTTATTGCAATTTTTTTAAAAATAATTTATTCAATCGAGCAGTATTCAAAAATCATTTTAGGAAGGTATTTAATTTTTTTACTTTGATAAACATGCTATAGAAATTTTTTTGAAAAAAATCAAAGTAATGATCTTTTGATCATTACTTTGATCCTTTACTTTGATGACTTTAAAATAGTTAATTAGAGTCATTAGAAGTAGCCTAAAAAAATATTGATAGTGCTAGTTCAAGGAGAGTAATTGTTCATATCCCCATTAAATACGCTCCTGGTATATACAATAATTAATTATAATAATTGTATAAATATTATAGAATAATTACACAAAAAAATCGGCGGGTTATTATTTCTAGAACTATGTAAAAAAGTTAATTTTGATAAGAATATTGGTTACTGCGATTTGACACCATAATTGGTCATAGATGGATCCCAATTCTTACAATAAACTGATAGACTTATACATAATATATGAGACAAATAAGATAATAAAATTGTTCAAAGTGAAATAGTACGTTTGAACAGTAAGCTGATTATAAAATTAAAGTCAAATAAAATATACAGAGCATTCAGTAAGTAAGGAAACAGGCCAATTGTTACGAACAATGAGAACAATAGAAACCCGTTTCCTTACTTACTGAATACCATATATATATAACAATAAACTTGATTAAATATAATAACAAAATTTGTTTTATGAACATTTTTAAAAGAAATTGACAGTAAATATCTGTATATTAAATAAACTAAATATAAAAAAACTGACATAATATCAAAACAAAAATATAGTTATTAATCAAACAGAATTAATTCATAAATGATAGCTACAGCTTGTAATCAATATGAATTTTAAAAAAATTGACTTAAAAATCCATTTCCTACAAATTTAGTGTCAAAATATATATACGTGCACAAATTACACGATAACCTCATTCTAAACATGCGCGTGAACTTGAAAAAAAAGAATTTTGAAAAACGGAACACACTAAGTAATTTCCGCGAAAAAGCGTTTTTTCCCTTGTTTTATTATATAATAAGATGTGTACATGTTTCATTGGCATACAAAAAAAACGTTATTTTTCGTTGAAATTTGATGAATTTAAAACACTCGTAGCGGCCAGAGTTTTTTCGGATTTTTGGCGCTTCCTCAACACGTGTAAATCGCTGTGGTAAAATTGAAAATCGAATAAAAATTGTTTTCATATCATAAAAGTGTCGCAAGAATTTCGTGCCGTGCGAGCGTAAGAAAAAAAAAGCTTGTATAACTGTAACAAATGAACAGAACGAATTCATTATTTTATGATATCTTAGAAATGTCTTTTGGCGTATCTGGTGAAAATTTCAAACCTTAAATCGCGTAAAACGCTGATGTCAGTGAGCGTTTATCTCAAAAATGGTCAAAATTTTAAAACGCGAGCAAGCCAGTGGTAAAAATTTTCCCGGAGTCTCATGACCGAGTATTTTCGTTGAAAAATAAATGTTGAAAATCGGAAAATGCTAAGTAATTTTTCAGATATGCATTTTTTCCCTTATTCTATTGTATAATAATATATTTAAAAAAAAACCAGTTATTAGTATTTTTCTTACAAAAACGATTATTGGATCGATAAAAATTTTAGAACGAGTAATTTTTGAGCGACAAGCATTTTAATACATACCCGCTCGATGTATTAAAATTTTTTTAACTCAATAAATTAAACAATAAATAAATTATTTATTTAATAAATTAAATAAACTGAATTCCTTTTAAAGTTCTTTTTAAAATAAAAGCGATAAAAACTGTCTATTTTGAAATTAAAAAAAAATGTATTATTGTTAAAAACAAATAATAAAAAAATATGATTTAAATGTAGTCTAAGAACGTATAAATTGTATTTAAAAAAAAAACTCGACAAAAATTTTTAATTTATCAAAAGTCATAAAAGTTCTTTTATCAAGAACAGAATACTAAGTCATCTAAATACATGAGATATGATACGATAGCCGGTTCATCAGGGACTTTTCCGAGATCTCAGTAGCTTAATCTTGCTTTGTTTATACATATAAATAGTAATTTGTACTGAATCGAAGTATACGAATAACTAGTGGAATACTAAATGAATAACATTATAAATTGCAAATTAACTTAAAATTGAACAATCTAAATGAATTAAATTCAATAGGAACCACTGACGAGAAATTTAGGCCGGTACCTTAGGTGCATGTGAACAAGTTATACATATATATAATGTATTTCCTAAGTTTGATAATGTAGTCTTATAGGTTGTTTACAAGGAGGGATCTTTCGTAAATTAGCGACGCTTAATTGAATCTCATATTCTGAAGTTAACTAAATTATATTGCTCTCGTTCTACTTGTCAACCATTTTGATTCTTCTGGATACCCTTGTAAATATCGTGTATTCAATAATGGCTATTGTACAAATGAAATAACCGAGAAAATAAAAATTTACTTAGAATATAGTTACTTTCTGTATTTTTAATTAAAAAAACCATAAAAAGTAAATTAATATAAAAGTAAAATCTTATTGCATTTTAAAATATTTAATTTCGTACTTTATCACTTAACTATTAATCAAGCAATATTTATACATTTTTAACTTTAGAAAATATCAACAAAATTATTCGAATAACGTAAGTCCAAATAGAAATATTTTTTGATTTTGTATTTCCAATCTAGTTATAAACTAATTCGTTCAGTAAAAGCTAAATTACAAAACTATCTTTTTATAAAATAAATAGACATACGTCCTCCGTAATGGATGACTCAATTGTTCAATTTTAGCATAAATTTCACTAAATTTAACTTTTACCAGAATAAATATTTAAAGAATAAAAGAGAAAGTTATACGACGTAAGAGAACTAATAATAATAAACTAATAATATAAGGGTACAAAGAATTATTAATAAGAAGAATTTCTATTGTTGATGAATAGTATTAAAATAAAATAAAGAATGATTTCTAAGATAATAAAGAGAAAATTTGACTTTTATTATTCTTTCAATTAAAAAAAATAATTTAATTTTGATTATTTTATAAATAAATATGATTTTTCAAAGATTGAATCATACAATTTATTTAGTATGAAATTTATATTTTCAAAATTTGCGTACACGTAATTTTATAAATTTACGTTTTATTAGTGATAAATAAAAATCATGTAAGCGCGTTAACACATCGGAAACAACTGTTGTTTATTATAATGTAATCTAATCATTCTTTCGAGACATTAAATATATTTTAGGACAACAATCTTCTATTAAATTCATAACAACGAAATGCTAAAAACAGACAGTTTATAACTTCACTTAAAGAGCAATGTTCAATAAAACAGTTTCGTTTGATGACACTTAAATTTATGCTTCTTGTTGATTAATAACTTATTTTTAACACGCTGAGTGTTATTCCTTGCGTTGTGTAAACAATCATAGAGTGATTTTTTAATTAACATAAGCTCAAATTTTATTTATGTGCAAAAAGTTTTTTGTTCAAAATTAATTATTTAGTAGCAAAAAATGTAATGAATGGTATTATAATGAATTATTGTATACTTATATGGTACCTAAGTATTATATTATAACATAAAAAAAAATGAATAATGATCTTTTTTTTTTTTTTAGCTAAATTTTTACTAAAATTGTGGATTCATTTATAAAAGATTTTTTAGCTTTTAGTTAATCACTACTATTTCATAATAAAAGATCTTTTAACAAATGTTATTTCTGGTGATTTTTTACGAAGCTTAAAGCCCAAATGGTACTAAGATCTACAAAGTTTAAATTTTGTATAAAGAAAAATTTTAATTAAAATTTTGTTTTTACAAAAATTAAATATTAAAAAAACCATGGTGAATGTGATGTTAATAGTTAGTTTTTTCATGTTATATTTTATTTACTTTAGCTAATACTCATGTCGAATCTATTTTGAAATTGGTACTAAAATGGAAAAAAAAAAAAGATTGTGAATTAAAAGCGAGAACTAATTTACTAATTATATCAGTCATGCTTATCAAATAGTATACAGCTATAAGTTCTCCATATAAAATTATACATATAAATTTATAAATAAATAAATCTTTTGACATATACGTAAGGCATTATTTATTTTTATGTGGATTATAGGAGAGGGATCGTAGATTAGAGCAATTTTAGTGCTAATAACAAAAATATGTTTTTGTTTTTTTACCTAAAATTTAAATAAGTACTGAACTTAATTTTAGCCTCTGGATACGTCACTGGCCAATATATAAATTAAAAACTGTTATGAATGCTTTAAAAGTATTATTGTATTTGTTGAAATAACTAAATAATTTAATCTTTGTTTTGCGAAGAAAAATAGTAACTTACTAGTTAAGGAATTGAAACTGAGATCCAGTTCTTCAAGCGCTGGTAAATCACTGAATGCTTGATGGTTTATTGACGATATGTTATTATATTTGAATGATAATTTTTTAAGTGAATCCATGAGTGGTAATTTAAAAATATGCTCTAGGTTGTTGTTGGTCATGTCGATTTCTACTATTTGATATGATTTTAGACCTCCGGTGCTAAAATGTGCATGATACCTTACCCTCATTTCAATGTCATTTGGATGATGGTTTCTAATATTCGCACAGTCTAGCATGATACCCGACGGATCTTTACCATTGTATTGTTCATAACATTTGACTTTATACAAAGCAGAGCATTTAGAAAAAAATAATAGTAATACATAAAAGCACAAGATGATAAATCGTGTCATTGTTTTAGATAAGTTTGTTAAATATACAACAGAAAACTAAGTTAAAATAAAAATTAATTACAATTGTTAGGGTGATCAACACCCTTAGTTCCTCCGATCGCAAATTATCTTTATGCACTCAAAGTTGTTGAATATATTTGTATTTTTTTACATAAATAATAATTTCGATAATATGTACCATACGGATTTGATACCGAATTATAACTGTGTGCGGGCGTGCACGTTTCAATACATAATATTTGAATATCTTTCCGTGTGCCGTACATTTCTATGAACTGAGTCAAGTTGTTTATCACGCACCTTTGAGAAGTGCGAGCCAGATTAGATAGTGTAGTCAAGATTCTTAATTGTGACTACTGTAATTTTATGCAAATCATTGTTATGAAGATAGCATTTTTAATAATAATAAACAATTATAGAACCGATTTGATTGTAAACTAATTTGCTCTCTCCAATTGACATCGTTTAACATCACTTGATAATTGATCAGAATTCGTCCATAGGTCACATTTCTTGATTTTGGCAGTAGTTACCTCGAAAGGTGTATAAAATGTTGCTGAATTTTGTTCTCGAATTTCAAACAAAATTATTTTATTAAAATAAAAATTATAAAAAGTTTTTTAGTAGAATACGCACAAACTTTGGAAGAACGACTTTTAACTAATTATTTATTGTTTTCTGAAAATGCATTGAATTAATCACCTAAAATATGGGTTTTAAAGATATTTTTATGAAACAAATTAAATAAACGAACGTCTGGATTCTGAAACACAGAACAGTTAACTGATTTTCGAATTTTTTACTATGCCAAGTTCTTGCGATGGTGTTGGTTGCCTTGAATGAGCCTCAAGGACAAAGTTGATCACTGCATGCATATCGTAATAGCAGATTTTTTAATTGGTACGGAATCTGATGCGTATTTTATTTAAATATTTTTAATAAGAACTTAGTACAGTTTATGCTATGTAAACCTGAATAAAATATTCTGTATCATAATAATGAATTACCAAAGCATGTATTAATATCATCATTGAAATCAACTGTAAATAAATACAATCAGTTGCAGAGATTTTCTTTGTTTATTTCTCACATAAACAATAATGAATTGTTCATGATAACGTTATCATGAACAATTTGATGAATATTGTTAATAAATTAATGTAATATTAATATTAATGAACGTTCTGGTAATAACGTTATCGTGTATGATAATAAATATATTTACTTAGTTTATTAACTTTTTTACTTTCTTGTTAAGTATTGATATGTCTTAGGTTAATATTACCTACTTATACACAAAACATATAAGTATCATAATATATATTTTGAATTGCTATTGCAAAATAAGTGAAGTAGCTACTCTTTCACAAACCAATGCTGCTAATGGTTCAAGGTCAAATGTAGTCTAAGTTGAATGTAATTGTATGCCATACCTACTATTACACATTACTTAAATTCAATACGATAAAAAATGTTTTATTATATTCATCTGTTGTCACAATATTGGTCTATTAGAAGAAATAAAAGGTATTGGTATTAACTAAAATTGATACTTTGTTTTTAACTGAAAAACAATTGTAACTTATATTTAGGGAATGTTAATTAAAGTGAACAAAGAAACAAGTATATGTTTTTTAAACGAGTTCAAATTAAGCTTCACATTCTCAAAGATAATCAACTAAATTTAAAACTAATGATTTCTGCTGGAAAAATATCAGCACAGCGGCGTTCTTAGTTTTGTCTTTGAGGAGAGATATGAATAAGAATTTTTTTTAAATCCCTCTGAACTATATTTTTACCGTATATTTATTTTCATCGAGGGATATTCTATCCCCAATACTCCTCCTCGAATACGCCAGTAGTTAACACTAAGATACTGAGAGATCATTATTATGTAGTGGTAGGATTAGCTTTAAGAACCTGCTGTTTAATGTTCCAAAGGTTTTAAATAAAAAATAATTTTTTGAAATAGTTTTATATTTTTTCCTTAACTATTGTAATTAATAGTGAAATAAATAAGTAATCAAAAGATATATTTTTTAAGAAGTTATCAAATTTGTTAGAGAAAAATAATATGCATCATGAATAAAACACGTTATAGCTTTGTAAAAATAATGTATAATTCTTTTTCATCATAGATAAAAACTTTGTTTTAAAATTTATAGTTATAAACCGGTTTTTGGTAATTACTATTTAAAGTACGTACTGACATGGGCACTATCGACAATCATCAAATATAGATCAGAATATAAAACATGAAAGGAGATATTTACTTGATTATTTTTTTATTGGTACCTGATTTTATCACCTAGTTTTTTTTATTATATTTTATAAAGTTGATGTTCTATAAAATCTATGTATGTATAACAATGAAGTATTAAGTATTAATATTAAAATAAATGTATATATCTAATAAACACAACTCATCATTTTAAAGACATATAATAGGATTATTATTGTGTATATCTTGAAATAATAATGTTTACAACAATTTTTTTCAAAAGCAATTTTAGACATTATACTAAATATTTGACGAAATAAATGTATTAAATTATTTCTAGTAATATTTAGGAATAGTTTTTTGTTTTTTCCTTTTGTTATCATGTATTCTTCTAAACAATCTTATTGTAAAATAAAATATTAATTCCACAATACTTAAAACGCTGCCTCCAAGACATAGACCAAATATTCCCCCTAATGATGCTGAAATATGTTTATTCATTTGTTAATATTCGCTAAAATAAATGTTTTTTCATTCTTACCAACAATTGTATCCCATGTTACCATAGCTTCTCTTCTATACTTGATACATAATATATCTTGATAAAGAACTCTTAGTTTACTGTGATTACTATTTAAATCAGAGCTAAAAAAATGTTAAGTGTTATAAAATATCGCATTGAAAGATTAGTGGTATAAACAAGATATATAATAATTGCGTAACCATAGGGTCAGTGAAGGGTTTTAATGTCGTAATTTTCTAGACTATCGCTCAAACATTTATTTTCGTACGAGTCGTTTTAGTTGCATAACATGTACTTCGGTAAAAAATTCAATATATTTTTGTATTTATAAATAAATAATAATTGAAAATGGACAATAATATCATATGCACAAATTTTTTGATCTTGCTATATTTGAATATAATAAAATAGTTACTTTCAAATGCATTTGCATTAATATAGAATACCTGATTGTAAAATGATCCTTGTTTAGTTTTGTAACTGTGCTCGTCTTTGTATAACTTACTTGCGAACAATCTGGTAAACAATCAGTACACAGAGTTTCTGAGTTTTCACTAACATTATCTGGTAGCAAATTACTAAAAACAGCTGAAAATAAAATTACAGAATTATCAACGACTTAAACAGGGTGTTAGGGAGGGAAGATAAGAGTTGTTTTTTTTTATTTATTCAATATTTTTTAATGACAATGCCGAGTAAAACTATTTTGGTAATCAAAAAAAAAGGTAATACAACCCCTCACTTTGATATTATTTTCTGGTTGCGCCACTGAAAGTAATAAACAAATTTGTAATGTAATTAGTAAAAGTTAATAATTATTTAAACAATATAATATGATACCAAAACTTGTAGCCCATTATGGAAATAATAGGGGATAGTTCATTCTGCTTCACTTAGATACATAATAGAAATACAGACTTGGATTAATTTATCTATTTATTGATATCATCAAGTTACTACTATTTATATAAAGAAAAATAAATGTAATATGTATATATATATATATATAGCTTCGATGTAAAGCTGAGAAGGTATTAATTATACTATGATGTGTTTATTTTTTTGTTTCTGTTACCACTTATTCTCAGCTCTCACTAGACCGATTTCTTTTAACGATACGTCAAAGATCACAAATCGTATCTAGTCAAGGGTATTACCCTTAAAAATTGAAAAAAATTTCCCTCGTTCTTCGATAATTTTTTTTTTATATAGATACATGAGATATTTATCTATCATTTGATATATTTTTTTATAAATCTGACCCTTTACCTGCCCACAGGGGGGATTCAGAATGACAACTTTTTCAACTTAACTTTTGAAAGTGTTCCGGAAATACTGACACTTTTATACATATCTTAAATTAAAGTTTATGTAATATACTTTATTATGGAAAAAGAAAAATTTCAGACTTTAGTTTGTTTTTATGGTGAAAACGGACATCAGAGTTAATAAAATTATAAGAATAATCTACCAATTTTTTAAAATTAAACACTATCTACGAATTTGCATCGAAGCGTTTTTTATGATAGTGATTTTAATCACTGTCAGATATCATTATACTTGACCCAACTGTCCCACGTCCCCACTGTGCTGGTTTTGGTTTTTAAAGTTAACTAAAATACAACCTATTTTATTAGTATCTTAAAATTCTGTAAATTAAATAAATTTGTGTATAAATATAGCGTGAGTTACTTATTTTGTACCACTTAAAATTTTTTGAGTTATTTTAATAAAGCATTCCCAGTTATAAACGTGATATGATATCTATATATATGAGCAATATTTTGACACTCTACCGGTTGATTTGTGTTACTATAATTCACCTAGTTGCGCTGATACGGTATTTTATTTCCCTTGGCCACACACGTTATAAACCTAAATAGAAATATATCGAAATCTAAATTCCAAGTGCGCGGAGGCCTAATAGTAAGGTTTGTTTCAACGAAGCCTTGTGTCACAATATCTAATCTGTATGCATTTTTTTTTTCACATGATTTCCAGTAATCTTTTCATGACTCGCCGTCAATCCCTGACTACCTAATAACCTTGATATGAATTTTCATAAGTTTTAAATACTATTATGAAACTTAAAAATGAACAACATTGTCTAACTTTGACAACCGTTTGCTTAATTTGGACTTTCCATATCTTTAATTAGACTTTATATTGTCATATAAGTAAATATAATGATGAAACTATGACTTGGGCTGAATAAACCCTTTATTAATAATATACTGTAATACCCCTCTTAATTTAGATATAATGGTGTGAATTAAATCAATCATAAGGTTTAAAAGTGACCTAACTAAATAAAAATATAGTTTTGCCCGGAAGGCCATAGTCAGAGGTTACTCACAACACTTTTCACGCTGTTATTAAGGTAAAATACGGGTTAAATTTTGCTGTGTTTTGGATATATTTTATAAATTGCTACGAACAGATGTAAAAAAATAGCTATAATACATAATTGCATAAATAACAATGTAATATAAATCAATAAATAAAGAATCAACACATTATTTTTTACTAACAACTAAATATTAAAAAATAATTTATTAAGTTAAATCTAAATTGTTTATTTTGGCTACTTAATTAAAAATAAAAATATAACTCAACCCTACAAGATCACTTAAAAATAAATCAGCAGATAAGCGTATTTTGGAAAATATATTTATATCGTCAATGGCAATGAGATACTGACCCTCTGACCGAACAAAACTCTCTTTATATACTATCAGTGACGTCATTATCATCAGATTTTGATACTATTTCATTTTTCATATGTTTTGTTAATAAATTTGTATTATTTTTTGAAATTTCAAAAATCCATTTTTAAGGCTTATTATAAAAATAAATGTTTATGGGTCCATAACAACTTTAGGATAAATACTTATTGAGTTACAAGTTAATAGTTAGAGATGGTAAGTAGCACGAGTGGAATGCACAAACACCAGTACAAATTGTACCCACCACGTACTTTTTTATAAGGAAAGGTCTCAAAACAGGTTAATTAAAATTTCAAAAATATTTTAATTTTTTATATTAGAGACAAATAATAAGAAATGTGTTTTTAACGTAGTTCAAACTGTACAAATTATTAAAAATAACGTAATGTAAAATATTTACATATACTAAATATGTATAATTCTATATTTTATATTATTATTGAATATAACATATTCACCTGAATTTTTATTCATGCACTCAGCATGGGTGAGATTACATAGAATAGACGAATTCAGACTTAATGGATAGAAAAATGGTATGCATTTGCAGTAGTTATAAATTATTCGAACGCGGCATTCATTAATACATTGTTGATAATCATACAAGTTCAACGTTAATAGTTTAGCCTAAAAATATAATACTTTGAATGTAGATCTACTATAATATGACAATGTACCTCATCAGGGAACAAGCAAAGTCTCTGTGATAACTTTAAAGATTTTACATTTTCCTCGCTTTTTACATAATAAGGATTTATTGCCATTTTTAAAATATTTCCAGGTTGAGCTATTGCGTCTAACGTTGAGGTTTCTGGAAAAATATCTGCTTCGTGTATTATTACCTATTTCAAAATATAAGTATGAATTATCTCCTTAGATACTTAAAAAAACAATTTCAATTTGGTACACAAACTTTAATTCCATAATATGAGTATATGGCAGCGAAATAATCACTAGAATTAGTATTCATAATAACTGTTAAGCCATCATCTCTTCCTGTACCACCAATATATTCTGTATTCAAAATATTATCGGTATAACTCCTAATAAATACATTACAATAAAATGAAACATAGAAATAATAACATGTGTACTTATGATTTGTCAGATTAATTAAAGCTCAGATGTAGTAAACATGTTAATTTCTTAATGCAGAAAAATTTAATAGTAAAAAACGAGAATTCTATGTAATTCTACTACAGCATAATATAACAATCATATTGTATTAGATAGGTAATTTGATTAATTCATTTTTTAATTCTAGCCTAATCAAGAAGAAATAAGGAGTCATCATTTTACCCGCTGAATAAGGAAAATTCGTGTAATCATCAACTGTTATTAAAGGAAGCTCTGGTTCAAATAGACGGAATTTTACGTTTGGTTGTATAAAGCTTTCCTTGTCTTATATCTTAGATTTTATCAAATATTATCCAACATTATGTATAGTACGCTCTATACAACTGGTCAGAAGCCTGTCAAACCATGTTGTACAGTATGTATACTGTTAAATAAATAAGGACTCCTTATTTATTTTAGGGAATTTTTATGATAAAAAGACTAAAATAATCCTCTATAAAATATAAAAGAAATTCCCTTGTAATTCAAATATGCATAACTTACGTTAAATTTCGTAAATTAACAAAGTAATTAAAAGAACAACAGTGTCCATCAACAGCCTTTGACGGATGAAACATTTCGCTACAGTTAGTTTTTTTACCGTTCCACTTGCATTGAACTAATAATTCGGTGCAAGGTTGTGAAACCTATATAATTTATTATATGCGTACAATTTTTAATATACATTTGAAAATTTGAATACTCATTAAAATAATATTTTAAACAATACCATGTACATAATGTCTTCAATAGTAGCATCGGTTTTGTTAATTTGGCTTAACACGCTCTGTTCAACAAGTCTGTCTATCTCCAAAAACTCAATATCATCTCTAGTTATGAGAGCAATAATTTTTTTGAAATAATTTTCGGTATTCACTGGATCAATTTTATATAATTTTGATCTATAATAATGTTTTTATTATGATATTTTTATATTAATTCAATGTTGGAATACGTTATATCTCTTACAGTTTTTCAGATATAGCCAAGACTACACTTTTTCTAACTTTGTTCGAATTGCACAAAGTTACAGCAGGAAACGGTATTTTCCACGTTGGATAATTGGAAGTTTCCATAGTCGTTATAGTGGGGCTTACACTAAAACGATGAAGTATTAGGTATGCTAAAAAAACTGCTACTCCTATCGAAATTATTGTTACAATAGTCCAGAACATTCTGAGAAAAATTAATAGTATAACATAAGATAAATAAATTATATTATGTTTTTTAAGAGCACAAAATTAAATGAATACTTAAAATAGTATTACATCTACTTTGGCTATTAATTTACAATTAAATTTATCATTTAAAAAAATAAATAAATAGAAATTTACAGTTTCATATTTAGAAATAGGCGCTTTTCAAATAAATAATTTAGGGTGCTTACTAATTGGATTTTCTGTTTTTGAGCAAGGAGAAATTGTTTTTTACGCGTCATTTTTCTGAAAGCTGATAAAGTCATCATTTTTNATAATTTTACCAACAAATGCCGTCGCAGTCCGCATTCGGCTCAACACAAATATATATATATACAAATAGACAAAAAAAAACAACCAGATACTTTTGTCACGTTACACGTAAAAATTACAATATCACATTGTATATTAATTTCATACTAAATTTAATTTCTATTTATTCATGTAATATACTTAAAACTTGTATCAGAATATAATTAAGGAAATAGGAGTTGATGTAGCTTTTAGAATCCAGCAATTCCTTTTAACAATTAAACATTATTTACAAATTCTCATAGACACGTTTTTTATAATAGTGATTTTAATCACTGTTAGATATCACCTCTACTTGTTCCACCTATGCCTCAACCTCACTGTATTATTATTTTTTTGTATTGTCCCTTAAAAAAAATTGATAAATCAGCTTTTGGAAAATAAACTCATATATTTACAGTAACAATTAAAAGGAAATTTTGTCATTGTTTAATCACTTAATAGCAATATGTATTTATGAAGTCTTCATAGTAAAAATTAAATAATTGTTTACCGTTCCAATTTACTGTATCCATCTTGTACTGTATAAGAGAGCCCGTGAATTGATGTTTCTTTGCAGTATTGTTTTATGTGTGTTTTAAAAACGCTATTTTTAATCCAATTCTTATTCTTTGCTGCCAATGAAAATTGAAGCGATTATGTTATGCGCGCTTAATTTATAGAATTAAGATTTATTGTATTTCTAAAATCTTTATATATACTATTAATAAGGATTAGGTCTCCGAAATAAAAAAGTAATTAACTCAGTAAAATGGGATAAAAATTCCTACGATGAAAATAATCATATTTTTAAGATAAACTTACTAGGTATCTTATTAGAAATGAGTTATTATTTTTTTATTAATTACCTATGCGGTGTGTTCTATACCTAGGCCATACATCATATCTTGTCGGATACATTAGATACAAAAATATAATAAGATATTCATAAGTTTAATATAAACATAAGAATAATTTTCTCGATATATTGTAGAACAATGAAGTATACTTTAAGACTGCCAAGTCTAAATTATCATTTGTGATTACTGAAAACATTTTTCACCTTCATTATTCATATGAGCTACATTTTTTAATAAAGTTTGATTATTTAGGATAGAATACAGTAAATGATGCGTATTTAGATATGTAAACACAATCAGCAAAATAGTTATCTTTAATATTTAAATAGTACTATTAGTTCGTTTATCTAATGTAAATAATGCATATTGGTTAAAAATACAGTAATATTATTAAAAAACAAAAATTTGTCATGATTGTATTTTTATATTCGATGTGAAGGTAAAAAGGTATTGGTTTTATGATGCGGCTTTTTTTATGTCTGTCCATTACATGAAAAGAAAACTTATTTTAACTCAATTAAAAAAATAATTTAATAAACATTTAATATTTGAGTGAAATTTTAAAACATAAACATTGTGAAATATATAGAATTACAAGTATACAAATTAATGTGAAATTTTCCGTCTAATCGTTTTTTATGATAGTGATATATACATCAAATATCATTCATACTTGTTCTAACTATTCCGCGTCGCCACTATGCTGCGACCCCACTGTGTTGTTTTGTTTTTCGCTTTTACGGCCTATCCCTAAGAGGAAGTTTCATTATCATGGATATTCCAGGATGGGTGCTCAGTCCGTCACCAGAAAGAGGAATGACGACTCCAATTACGGAACTGATCTCTCACTCCAAAAACAGAGCTGCCCTTGATCGAGACTTGAACCCATGTGCACTGTGCTCATCAAGCACTGTTTTGTTACGTAGTCGACCACACTGTTTCCTCTGCATATTAAATCAGTAAAACATTTTTGAGAAACTCGATAACTTAAGGTTAGAAATTAATTTTATTTGAATTAAGCTGAAATTTTTTAGTAAATTTACAAAAGATTTCATTGAACTTGAAAAATTCACATTAATTTTTCACAACGGTAACCAACAATGAACTTTCGTTTAACGTAATAGTATGCGCATAGGTGAAATAAACTTTTTATATTAGACTAGGTAAAAAAAAAATTAGATCGAGTTTTCATTGACTTTTTTTGCCGTGTTCTATACTACTAGGACACTTAGTCTCCTGCTTAGAGAAGAATAATAAAAAAAAAAATTAAATTAGTGAGAAATGAGAATTTTTATGGAATTTTAATTAAAATTAAAATTTTAATGTAATTTGTAATACAACATATATTGATAAACTTATAGTAGATTCAAATTCTATCTATTGACATTGCTTAAATAAATTTAATCGTTTAGAATTACAAAATAGTCTAAAAATATTGATGACGGACCTTGGATCTCAAGAAAATAATTAAAGATTGTCTATGAAAGTAAAAAATATATAATAAATTAACATAGGAGGATGTGTGGGCAGCCATTAGCCTTTAAAATAAGATGTTGCCCAAGTACGCCAATATGTAACAAACTGTACTATAATGAACCACTTTTTTTGTTATTTTATAATTTCCTAGCATTTATTATTTAATCAGCAAAAGTAAATAACTAATTTGGAATTCTGTTAGATAATCGGCGATAAGTATCAGTTTATTGGTACTTTGATAAAGCTTAATACGTTTGTATAGCTTTTAACACTACCAGCTTTATCCACTGTTTGTTGTACAAATTATACCTTACACTATCTAATTGTATAAATTAAATCGTAACTATTTGTGAAATATACATACAGAGTAACATGTTGTAATAAATATGACTTAAATTTTAAAATCAAAAAAATTTGGTGATCAAAACGAGGTCATAATGATATTATATCAAAAATTGTAATGTTGAAGTAAGATTAAATTTAGTTATTTTCTTTGTTATATAAACTACTAACATTAACTTGTTACAGTTAAAATCACTCTGTAGTTTACATTGGAGAGAGTGATACTTTTCTTAATCATTATACTATTCAAAAAATAAAAATAATTTTTGAGATTTTTTTTTTGGTTTTGGTTAAATATATATATATATATATATATATGTATATCTTTCAATTTATTTTTGTTAATTATTATTAGACATAATATATTATATCTAATTTAATTAAGTTAGGGTATTAACACAATTTTTTTCATATAGAAATAAATATTTTCAAGTTAATAAAAAATAATAATTATTATTATTATTATCTATTTATTATATTTTAATACTTCATGATATAAAATTGTTTTTTTTTTATTAAACTCAATAAAAAATCTTGCAACTCTAGAAAAAACTGTTGACGTATTTTATCAACTGAATATGTCAATAATTAATAATAAATAATTAACTAAATATTAAAAGGTAATAAAAATATATTTGTTTAATTATAATTAAAGTAATATTATTTGATATTCTTTTGATGAATTATACTGCATTTTGATTTTCTTATTAAATTACTTATTTGTTACTTTGTATTTTTGTTAATCAAAGAGAAAAATAAAAAATTATAAACTTTTAACGCCGTTGTTGAAAATTTAAATATTTAAAATTTTCAATTATTGTGTTAATATAAAATGTCTATTAAATGATAATAATTTGTTTATTCATAAAATTTAAACTCTCTGTAAAAATTATCATTTCAACATTGCTAAACAGCCTGTCGTTTTTGCTACTAACTTTTTGTTTAACCGTTAGACATTTCAATTGTCAAGACTCAGCGATAGTCGCAAAAATGATTATAATACTATGTAATTATTACAAAATGCATATAAAATAAAAGTTTGATTGATTTCCGTATGGGCATATACGTATATTGCATTATAATATAATTAATAATTATCAATAAAAATTCTATAATCTGTATTTCATATTAATAATAAAAAAAAATTCATCATGGTAAAATTAATACCTTCTCTAAAATAAGTTTAGATGATATCTGACAGTGATTATAATCACAAAAAAAGTATGTTGGACGAACGGGGTATTTATAATGTATTTAGAAACAAAAATTTATGTTGATCTATACATATTTCAAAAAGTTATAGTAATATAAAGTTGAAAATATAAAATCGAAAGTTTTACCACAAAAATAGTATGTTTTTAACTACGGCAACTATTTGCACATAGAAGATAAATCGTCTGGAAAATTTTTTTTTTAATTTATAGTACGTAACATTAGCTTTAATTTGACATATGTTTAAAGGACGCAAAATTAACTGAACATTGTCAAAATTAATTAATTTTAAAAAGGTATTAGCTTCGCATCGAAGCTATAAAATAATTTAGCTATCATAATGATCACATTGTTCAATATTATTATTTATCCATTATTAACAGTACTGTCATAATATAATAATCATGTAACATATAATCTGTAAAATAAATTGACATTCACTCAAAGCGCTGCCAATAACACTCCTAGAAGGAGAAGATTAAAAAATATATAAAAAAGCAACTTTTCTCATAAAATATTATGATTATCTGGGACAACCGTCGAACCGGCCTCAGACAATCCACATGAAGAACTTTGAGCTGCAACCTGTGTTGTTGTTAGCGTATGAGTGACATTAATTATAAATCAACTGGATTTGCGTTGTTATTTAAAACATTACATGGCCCTTGATAGGACATATTACTTTTATTCCAAAAACAATTTTGAACGATTACGCGTCAGAGAACGAGGTAACCGCCGAGCTAATTTGAAAACAAGAAAAAAAGGAAAACATGAGTATATTTTAAATTATCCTAATTACACAGAGTTCATAAATCTGAACAGAGAACAACGAAGCAATAGATCATTTATTATATTAATATTATACTTGACTGGTTGGATAGGGTCTTATACATAATCACGTTACATGGTATTCGTGAACTGCTTTGCTGTTCCGTTGCCCTAGTGCATATTATTATGTACAAACTAGACTACACTTTATTACACCTCAACAAAGAGGTATTGCGTTTTTTATTTTTATATCAACTTGTCTCGTTGTTCTAAACCCTCGAACCACACAACATCGAAAGAACTCATACATTCCATTATCATTTTTATTTTGTTATTTTAAATTATAACCAATTTCAATATAGTGGTTGTATTTGTTAACCCATACATAGGAATAAAAATGTTAATTTTCAATTCATGTTAGGATAGTTAAAATTTTTAATATTATCACTTTTAATTTTGGCTCTTTGACGTTTATAGTTAACGTTGCTGATTTTCATTTGCTATTATTACGGTTAGAGTTTAGATAAACTTAATTTTGTCTACTAGACAATTTCTTTATTGATGAGTTCAGTTTTATCGTTTTATCCTCGTTACATATTTTGAGTTAAACACAACACAAATTGTTATACTTGTTTGGCATTGTGATTAAAATGAACTACTAGCACGATTAAGTATAAAACTTAGTATAAAAAATGAAAGTTCGGTGAAAATAAATAAAAAAAATTATTTTTCTAAAATACAAAATAATGTATAGTTGTCAGAGTAACAAATAGTATTAAAAATTCGTTTAGCCTGTATTATCAGCGATTCTATAAAAACATATATTTGTAATAATTAATTAATTTGACTATTTTATACTAATTTTCTGTTGAATGTAAAGAAATAATATATTATGTTAAATAACATACTGTTTATATAGTCACATAGGTGGAAATTCCAAGAACGGTTTTCAATAGACAATTTTACCCAAATAGTAAAATGATGTTTTTTTGGATAATAACATTATAATTGTTATATGCAACGAAGTAGTTTTTAAAATTAAACTTTTATATAGTATATTACTTGTTCACAACTACATTAGTTAATATAAAATATTTTGACAAATATACATATTATAACGCTCTCTAGAAGTTGAATCGCTTTTTAATATTTAATTTGTGGTTAGGTTTGTTATCTGTTTTTATTTCAATACTGTGATAATAAGAATAATAATAATATAAGACTGTATAGAATTTTAAATTACGAATGAAAGTTTATATTTAATAACTAGTTCAACTAAATTTTACGTTTATCAATAACCACAAAGTATTATAATTTTTAAATGTAAAATATTACAATAGTTTTTTATTTTAGTTAAAAACTGAGTTCTATCCTAATGATTCGAAGTGGAATTTTTAGAACTTGTACATGTATAAAATCATTTAAGAATAACAAACCAAGCTTAAGACGCTTTAGTAATGATATTTGGGTATGAATTCTCTTTAACTTAATAAATTTGCAATACATATTTTGGAAATCTTATTTTTGTTAGAATGAAGACTTGTCTTTAGATGTTAAACTTAGAATAGAAAAATATTGGAAAGAAAAGCTAAGCCGAAGTACTTATAATGTAAAAAATGTTAACAATAAATTTTATGTCCTATCAATGTTTCCCTACCCTTCTGGTCGCCTACACATGGGCCATGTTCGTATTTATGTAATTGCTGATTCAATATCTAGATTTCACCGTATGAATGGACAAAATGTAAAAAATTTTCTTCGCTTAATGTTCTAATAAAATACTTTTATTAGAAAAATTATGTAGGTATTTCAGCCAATGGGTTGGGATGCATTTGGGCTACCTGCTGAAAATGCAGCAATTTCTCATGGATTAGCACCTGATAAATGGACTTTTTCCAATATTCAATATATGAAAGAACAACTGATGCAATTAGGGTGTAGTTTTGATTGGTCTAATGAAATATCGACTTGTGACCCCTTATATTATAAGTGGACTCAATGGATCTTTTTAAAAATGTTTGAATCTGGTCTTGTATATTCTAAAGAAGTAATTTTTTCTTTTTGAAATTAAACATTGATCATAAAATTTCTAATAAATAATTATTTTGGATAGGCTGAAGTAAATTGGGATCCTGTAGACAAAACTGTATTAGCTAATGAACAAGTTGATGAAAATGGCCACTCTTGGAGATCTGGTGCTTTAGTAGAAAAAAAAATTTTAAAACAATGGTTTATTAGAACTACAAAATTTTCTAAGTAAATATTTTAATAAAACTATTTGTAGGGTTTGGTTAGTTACATTATATATTGTATTTTATATAATGTATTTTGAATGGAAAAATAAGAATATAAATAATATTCTTTGGTCAACAAACAATTATAATTATATCAAATAAATTTGACTATATTTTTTGTTTTAAACTTTATTTACAGAGCTCTATATGATGGTTTAAATGATTCTTCCTTAGAAGGCTGGAGAGATGTTATTAATCTTCAAAAACATTGGATTGGAGAATGTGATGGTTATATATTTGATTTTAATTTATATATTGATAATGTTTATTGTACAGTTCTCAATATTTGGACATCTCAACCAGAATATGTTCCTTTATCTGCATTTATATGTATAAAACCTAATTCATTTATTCATAAACACTATGTGATTAAGTCTACGCAAATATTTATAAAGAACTTTATAAATGATAAAATGTTGCCAATATTAGTGACAGACGAAGTTGAATACCCAGATAGCAAAGATGTTCGCCTAGCTATTCCATCAGTTTATGAAAAAGATAAAGAATTAGCTAGAAAACATAATATACCATATGAAGATAACAAAAGTAAAATGTCTAAAGAAGCTGTATGTGAAAAAGCAAAACAGTTAAATATAGGGGGCTACCCTGTTAGTTCAAAATTGCAGGATTGGTTGATATCAAGACAAAGATACTGGGGCACTCCTGTACCAATAATTCATTGTAAAAAGTGTGGACAACAGTGTGTTCCTGAAGAGCAGTTGCCAGTCATGTTACCAATTTTAGATGACAATTGCAATAAGAATTCTTTAGAAAAGGCTGAAAATTGGATTAAAACTAATTGTCCCAAGTGTGTAATATATTTAAATAAAATATTGAACTGATACATTTAGTTAATATTGCAGTATTTTAGATGTGGAGGTGAAGCAATTAGAGAAACTGACACAATGGATACATTTGTTGATTCAAGTTGGTATTTTTTAAGGTATCTTGATCCAAAAAACAATCATAAGCCTTATGATCAGAGCTTAGCTAATAAAATGATGCCTGTTGATATTTATATTGGTGGCAAAGAACATGGTAAAAATGATCAAAATTAATGATTTATTTTACAAAACTTATAAATAATTTTGTTTTAGCTGTTCTACATTTGTATTATGCAAGATTTGTCAATTATTTTTTGCATTCCATAAATCTCTCACCTTATCAAGAACCATTTAAAAATTTGTTAGTTCAAGGTATGGTAATGGGTCAGAGTTTCAAAGATAAAACTAATGGTCAGTATTTGAAACAAGATCAAGTTGTTAAAAAAGGCAATAAATATTTTACCAAAGATGGTAACCATCCAGTAACAACTGTTTGGGAAAAAATGAGCAAGTCTAGACATAATGGAGTTGAACCTTCTAGTACATTACAGGAATATGGTATAGATACCATGCGATTATTAATTTTATCAAGTGTGGCACCTACATCAAATAGAAATTGGAATTCAGAGAGTTAGTTTTGATAATTTTAATTTATAATTATTTTTAATATATATTTATATATTATCAGCTTTTCCTGGTGTTTTGAACTGGCAGCAAAAGCTATGGTCAATAATTCAACAATTTAGACACATCAGAAGTTGTAGTTTACAACAAGATAATATTGACTCATCTAAATTTCATGATGAACAAACAAAACTGTATGAAGCTCGTAATTATTATGTAAAAAAAACATCCAATAATTATAGAAAATCATACCAACTCAGCGTTGCTATTTCATTTTTACAAGGACTCTCAAATATTTTAAAAGTAAAATCATTGACCAGTAATTATTTATAAACATTTTTTCTAATAAAATATAAAATCATTCTTTTATCAGTATATTTTTCAAAATTTTATTATTGTACTTAATTATGTAACTCTCAATTCTTACTAACTCAATTTTATTATAAATGATCATATTAATATTTGAATCAATCATTTAGAAAATGACAAAAGTCAATATTTTTTATAAAACAATATATTAGTATTAAAAAAGAGAAAATAATATGTAAAAAAAAATTATATCACTATCTTATGTAATTATTATAAAATGTCGATAAAAGAAAAGATAATAAAATTCAATTCTCATATAGTATATCTTATTTGTTAACATAGCTAATTATAGAATCTGGAATATTTAAAAATAATTCTTAAAATAAAATACTCGGTTAAAAATTGTTTTAAAGATTATAACAATATTTCTGAATTAAATAAGAAATTTCCATGTTGATTTGCTTTTTACAATGTGTAACAATTCATTTGATTTCTATTTTAACTTGATTATTTAAAACAATATTTTTTAGAAATCTTCAAAAGAACTTGTTAAGTACAGTGCAGAGTATGAACGTTTATTAGCTGTTCAAATAATTATGTTAGCCCCAATGGCACCTCATTTTGCTTCAGCTTTATGGAGTGGGTTTGTAACAGCACCCGGACGAATTAATACCAATTGGACTCAAATAAAATGGGAAGAAGATGTAATTGTTCAAAGTTGGCCTGAAGTAGATGACAATTATGAACTGAATCTTTATTGCTTGGTAGTATTAAAAATATTTATTATCTTCTTTTTATTCCTGTTTTTAAGAAAAACAGTTTATTAAAGTTAAAATTTTTTTGATATAATCAATACTTATCTGACTGAATATTATCAATTGTATAATGTATATGTTGAAAAAAATATATTGATAGGTAAAGTCTGTATCACTTTAATTGTTTATTTTCATGTAAAATAAAAACTTAGATGGGATTCTATATTAACTTTTTTTATAGAAAACATAAATATCTATAAATTAAATTTTTTATATTTTTATGGTAAGTATAATAGTTTTAGTGTTAGAGTTGATCAGTCGTGACCAAATTTTTACTTCTTACTTTTAGATGTACTAGAACAAATTTGGGGGGTTTGTGCATCAAATTTGAAACTTCAAAATTAAGGACTACCCTAATACACAGTTAATTGTAAACATAATTTACAGTACACTACACCTCAGTAAATTATATACTTTTTTTTTGATTAATTCTAAAATTTATCAATATTTATAATTTATTGTTTTTTTAAATATTTCAGATATTAGTAAAACTAAAGATATAATTATGTTAAATTTTAGGTTAATAATGCAATTAAATGTGTTTTGAAAATGTCAAAAAAAGATTTAAAATTATTGACTAAACAAAAAGCACTAGAAATAGCCTTGAAACAAGATATCATTCAAGAATACACTTCATCATGGAATATATTAGATACGACTTTTCAAATGTTTGAAGACGATGATGGTTATTTACACATAAAAACTGATAGAAAATCTGAATCAAAGAAAAATACTGAAAATAGTTCAAAAATTATAAAATAGATATAGGACTTTTATAGAATGAAAAAGTATTTAAATATAGATAAGATTGATATAGATTTTTTAATAAATTCCCTGTACTTTTCTAATATTAAAGATCATCATTTTGAAAAATGAAATTTTTATGCCTGATATCTTTTTTTGTTGTTTTTGCAGTTATCATTACAAAATACTATTATTTATTGATAATTTGAATTAAACATAAGAAGTGAACTAAAAGATTAAATGATGTATAAAACAAGATTATTGATTTAAAAAATATACTTCGTAACATATATATCAAAATTAACTGTTAAAAATGTATAACAATTTATGACATATTTTTTTACCTACTATATTTTACTGAAAATTTCATATTAAAACAAATAATATCATTGACTTATAATATTTGTAAAAAAAAATTAATAAATTATTCTAATTATATACCAATAAATTTAAAAAGCATTTTAAAATAAAACTTACAAATTATAAAAATGTGTAATTTAAAACTTCTGAAATCATCAAATAATGACTGATGCTTTCAATTAAAATCATTCAATTTTATTCTAGTCTATTATCTTGTTTAATAACTTATATAGATATTTCATTAAAAGTTTTTTTTGTAAATAAATGTTTATAAATATATTAAGTTTCACCATAGAACCATGAGTATGGATCTATGTATATAATTTGTTTTTCTATAAAAGAAATGAAATTTATAATTAATTTGTATTATTATGTAAGAAACATATCTCAAAGTTATTTAATTTTTACTCTTGATGTTAATGATTTTGTTTGTGTTGAGTATCTATTGATTGGTAATAAGTAACTTAAGACATTTTATTAAGCATTTGTTATCATATTTGATTATTACTTCATTGATATTATTTTTATTATTGCATTTAATTAGCTATTAATCGTTATAAATTCTACTTTTTTCTTAAAATTTTGTAGTTTAATTAATTTCTCATTACTCTCAATGATTCATTTGTTTTGTTAAAACAAAAAATGTTCATTACTCGTTATATTTTTTCTTCTAGAAAATTTTACCTATAATAAAATAAAATAGATTTAATTATACAAAAAAAAATATTAAAATCTTAACTTTACTTGTTTAGTTTTGGTATTTTCTAATTCTCGTTTGATAATTTGTTTCATTAAACCACCATGATCAAATATTTGATTATATTCTTCTATTTCTTTTAATTTCTGTTTTATAATTTGAATTAACCGATTTTTCCCTCGTTTACTCATCTTATATTCTGATTCATTATTAATAAGATTTGGTATAATTGATAAAATACAATTTGGTTGAGCAGTGTATTTCATGTTTTTCAAAAATTCATCATTGATTTTTTGTTTCCATTCTTCTTTTTCTTGGAACTTTTTATTTATTTTAATTTGCAAAGCTTCAAGTTTATGGGTTTTTTCGGCTGCTTCTAGAGCTTCTGCTCTTTTCTTAAGGAGTTCTTTGCGATGTAATGTCATTTTTTTTTCTTCTTCTTTTTCATTTTCTTTACGTTGTATTTCTAATTCTTGTTCTTTTAGCCTTTTTAGTTCAGCTTTATGCTCGAGTTCTTGTGCTTTTTTTTTAACTAACTCTTCGTAAGCTGCTGCTTCTGCAATTTTCCTTTTAAATGCTTCTTCTTTTTTATTCTTTCTTTTTTCAATTTTTAAAAACGTTCTTTTCTTATTATTGAGCAAGGGGTCATTTTCGTATTCTATTTTATTACTGATCATCTTATTATCTTGAACTTCTTGTTTAAAGTTTTCTTCTATTAAATCAACATCATATTCTCCTTTTTTTATAACTCCGGTAGACTTATCTTGCTTCAAGGCACTCGAGTTATTTTCTAAAAATTAATATCTCATCGTTTACTTTAAATACATAAAAAATGGTTTTTATTGCAGTATATGTATAGAAAAATTAATTAATTAATTAAAATATTTCAACTTAACTATTTTAATTATCCGTTGAAATAACATAGATTTTTTCAATTAATTAGATAATAACAATCGAGCTAAATTTAAATTTCATAAAAAATTTTTTTTTATAAACTGCGTACGTAGTGTAAAAATTTAATGATTTATCAAAGGCGTTAGAAAGAAGTGGAGTTAAATTTATACTACCATAAATAATATATTTATATTACAATAAATACAATCTCTGAACTTTTTGTGGGATTGAACTTGAGGCGAAGTCTCAAATTAAAATAAAGAAAAAAATAATAAACGTTGTCAACTGTAATTTTACAGATACAACAATATAACCAATATCAAAATGTAAAATCCATGTTAGTCTACAAAACAGTAAAATAATTTTTTTTATCACTAATATTTTTCTTCCTATTCCGTTTCACAAGTTGAAAATCAGTTCTCATGCTTCCTTATCATCACCGATTAATAAAAAAATCGATGTTAAGCGATTTTAGCTAAAAATATAATTTAGGACCATAAGAATTAAATTAACTTTTTTAACTGAGTAAAGTTAAAAAAATGATTAACTTAACTTTTAAGTTAGCTAGTTAAATTTAAATTTGTTAACTTTTAACTTATCGACATTGTTCCTATTTAATTAAACTATAGTTAATTATTTCCATTAATTTGCCTATCTTTGATTATATAATATATCTATGCATTCACTCATGATGGTTCTGTGATTTAAAAATTATTTACAACACTTCAAAGCAAATATTTGAGTTTGATACCAACATTAAAATTATTAATGAACCACGAAGGAAGACTAATAATTATTATATATTCATGCTATAAATAAAACTTACCTTTTTGTGTAAGTTGGTTATTGACTAATAAATGATTATTGACATTTTTCAATGATTTGTTTTCGTTTGTTGGTTTACTAATAGCTAATCTCAATATTTTCTCAGCATTTTCTTTTTCATTAACTAATGGTTGATTACCACCTCTTTTGTTTTTTTCACTTATTTCATTCAAATTATTATTTTTTTTCTTTTCTGTTGTATTATAATTATGTTTTTTTTTTATATGAGTAGCCATTAATTGAATTTTTTTGGTGAAATCTGATGATTTCATAAAATCTTCTGCAAAAAGATGTTCCCATTTTTTAATGTCAGATGTTTCGATTTTCTTTTTTTTTAGTATGTAATTCATTAATGATTGAACTTCATCGGTAAATTTTGGAGATCCCATTAAATCTTTTTTAAAAATATCTGCCCATTGTCTTAACTCTTTGTGTTCAAATAAATGTTTTACTAGTGATGTTGTTGACTGAAGATTTTTAGTTAAATCTGGAGGGCTTATAAAATATTTGTTAAAAGTATTTATTCGTTTTTTGACGACCTCCTTATCAAGTTCGTCCTGTTTTCGTGTAAGGGATTGACTCAAGTTTTTTTTTTGAATAATTTTTGGATGTTTTAGTACATTTTTATAAATATCTCTTTGTTTTTTCAGTTTTATCTTACTATGCTCGTTCCGTTTTCGTAGATAATTAATTCTTGTTATCTTTTCATTAGCAATTATGGGAGATATGTTGGCATTATTTCGAAAATTATTTACACGTGTTTTAAAATCTCTAATTTTAAGTTTATTATTTTTTTTCAAAAAATTCGGAGATTTTAATAAATCTTTTTTGAAAAGATGACCCCATTTTTTTAGTTTTGTTTCATTAAGTTGCCCATGTTTTTGTATATAAGTTCCTATCGATTTAATTTCATTTGTGAACTCCAGAGATTTAAATAGATTTTTTTTAACTGCTAAATTGTGTTTAGTTTCTTTTTGATTATTATTGATTTCTTTAATTTCTTTAGATGGTAATTTTTGATCAGCTATGTTATTTTTAATAACATAATTAAATTTTTTAACATCATTAGTAGTTAGAGCACCATATTTTTGTAAATATGTTGCCATAGATTGAATTTCATGAGCTCCGGCAAAGTCTGGCGACTCTAAAAGTTTTTGAAAAGCTGAATTTTTAGAACGCTTATGATCAACAGTGACTCTATAAAATAATAATAAGATAAAAAAATTACTTTTAATATATATTTAATTTATAAACATTGACTTCTCAATTGAAACTCACAACTATAATCTAAAGATTTTTAGACTTATAACCTTTTGTAATTGCATAGGCATATTAAGAAAGAATTATATTTTTATAGTTATTCTAATTACTTTTGACCTTATTTAGTTATTTAAAATATTTTTTTATAAATGAAAGAGAATAGTAAGCTTAGAGCCCTCTTCAGGAGTTCAGACATTAGTTATTGATAGCATTGATATTCTATTACAGTGCAAAATATTTTTAAAATAAAATTTACCGCTTATATCTTGCTGATTTATGACCATTACTTTTTGAATTAAAAGTTAATCTTGTACAAATAAAACCTCTTGGAGTTGATAACAAGTTTAAATAATCATCTCGAGTTAACTGATCTCTATTAATCGTCGGTTTTGGGCAAACCACATGATAGCATGGTCGCTTGCAAACATTTTTAAAGCTTTTTGATAATCTTAGCGCGCAAGAATCTTTTCTATAAAGTTGGTTAACTTCATTCTGCATAGTGAAATTTTCAAGTGTATATAATAAATTGAGTTATTATTATAACATAAATTTTGTTGAATTTACTATTTAAATAAAAAATGTAATACTTAGTGATATATCATTTCATAAATATTGATTTTAATTGTTAATAGAGATGACGTTAATTTATTATTAAATAAATTACTAAATTTATAACAGCTAATTAAAAATTCGGATAATAAATTCTCAAATAGGAATTTGTGGTATAAATCCAATAATGGGAGATTACTAGAGAATTTTTGGTATAATTTCGTTTAATAAATAGATATTGGACAGACAAGAACATCTAAGATAGGCATATGGCTAGACTCTCATTGAACGAGTGTAAATTTAATTTTATCTCCTTCACAAAACAGTGAATCTTATAAATGATTGAAACTCAGTCATAAACTCTATAGGTATGGTAAAAAATATGTTTTGACAATAAAATCTTGATACCCTTTTTTATCAAAAAAATTATTTTTTAAGGGCGGGCATGTGTCAAATTGTAGGTACCTTTGCATAGTGTTACTGATTTGGCAACATAATGTAACTCAAAACACTAAACTGATTATTTAATTTTTGAAGAATGATGCTTTTTTTAACATTTTTTATGTATTTTATAATTTATATAAGATATATGTAATTGACATTTTTAAATTCTAAATCAGATACATGATATTAATAAATTGGAGATTTAGAGCGAAATTAATTCTAGAATATTAATATAACCTATGTTATATTATATTATCCATAAAAGTGTGAATCAATGATACCAAAATGTTAATTATGTATCATTGTCAAATATGTATGAGTGATAATAGTTCACAAATTGAATGAAGTGTTTTGTCATTCTTAGTTATAAAAAGTAAATTATTAGAGACACTAATAAATGTTTACAATGTTTCATTAGAAAATAAGAGCATTGTACATTGATTTATGTGTACGAAATGTATAGTATATAATTAAATTAAGAATTAATACTAAATTCGTATTGAATATTTTATATTGAAAACATTGATATTTAAATATTAGTTTTAGACAAAATTATAATATCAATGATGATATTTTTTTAAATTAAAATAATGATGTATCAGCGTTTGAGACATTGTATAAATTAATGAAAATAGGAGATTTTAAACAATCTCGAAGTATAAAATTAAGTCATTTTATGAATTTCAATTTTAATTAGTTTAATGAATTAAGGTTAATTTAATTTTTTAAAATTTCCTATTTCATATCAAAAAGATAAAAATAATAATACATTTAGCCTTAAAAATAGTAGTCATATTTTGACAACAAAAATCAAAGTTTAATAATCTTTAAATTACAAATGTAAGTATACATTTTCCAATGACATAATCAAACATCAGTCGGTTAAATGAAATAGGTTGCACGCTTAAAAAAAAAATGCTTTTCCTACTCATGGTTCTAAACTTTATTAATAAAAGAATTTTAGATCTTTCAATAACAATATGTAAAAAATATGAATTTTATGTTTATTTTTCTATTTAAATATTACTTCATCATAATTACTTTTAAAAAACTTTAATAAACTATAATTCTTTGTCATCATTTATTTTAAGTGAAGACCATGGCATTATTGGACCTCTACAGTTATTATGAGGTATTAACTTTAATTTTTCTATATATTCTGAAGGCAAATTACTTTCTTTAGCACCTAAAAGAATAGTTTCCAAATATGCTTCAGAGGGTCGCCTTTCTGGTGGCAATATTGTTTCTTTTTGAGGTAGGTTATTAAGCATATATGAACGACATAAAATAGTCTGGCCAATTGATAATTCAATGTTTGTTTCAAAAGGTATGTATAGTTTCTGTGGGACTCCTTCTTGTTTATCCAAGTTTTGAAGGTCACTTATATTCAATTTCCATACAGAACCCCAGACATATTCATCAGTGTCTGGCACGACAGTCGCAGGACTACCTTTCCAAAAATTAGATTTGGGTCCATTAAAGTCTAAACGATATCCCTAAAAAAATGTATGAGACTTTGCAAGAAGTTTTTGAAAGATTATTATAACTTACATTTAGTTTACCACTCCCTTCTCTAATTGCAGAAGGATTATTTAAATGAATACGTTCAGCTAGTAAATTACTGCCATAAGCAAAATAAAAGAATACCATAGTCATTTTCATTTAGGTATTTTAGAGGTTAAATTTGTCCTTTAAACAATTTAATGTAATGATTGATAATGAAAATAGTATAGTCATGATAATTGTTTAGTAAAAAATAAACAACGAAAAAACATGGTTTCATAGACAGTAAATATATAAATAGAAATTTATATTCATTTTTATTTAAACATTTAATTAAATTGAAGTTAATCATATTCAAGTATTACATTAGTACAGAAATTCATGTTAACTTGATAATTTATCATTTAATTTAAGATAAGCTTAAGATTGTTCTTGTTATCGGCGTTATCATAATATAATAAATCTTGAATATTTTGTTAAATACTTAGTCTTGAAATTTTTTTATAAGTTTTAATAGAAATTATAAAATGATTAAAGCTCACATTTTATTTTTTGTATTGATACCACAAACTGTTTTACAAACATATTCATATAAAAATTTTGTAAGAATAAAATATTTGTAATTTTTTTCCTTTCATACCATCAAAATAAAAGTAGGAATTTTTATTTAAGAAAGTTAAATGTAAGGTTATTTATCCCTAAAGAGATGGAAACATATCTATTCAACTCTTTAATATAGTAATTTTATTATTTAATAGTTTTTGCTATGCATATCTTAGTGACATATTTAGAAATGTCGTATAGCTTTAAGAACAAACAATAGTGGAGAGCTTCACTTCTCCTCTACCCCTACCATGATTTTATGTCTATGGAAATGGTCCTGAACTCCATGGACCTCCTGAAATACTCAAGTGGTGTACCTTAATGCGAAGCTATAGGAATTTAATATTATCGTGTTGAATTTATAAAGCTTTTCCATTTAAGGGAACAAATATTCATACATAAAGAAATGTTACACAAACCGAACATATCTAACTCTTACAACTTTTGATACAGTTCGCCGAAATTAAAAAAAAATTGTTTACATTATAAGATACAGTGGGATTTTCAGGATTACATAATGATAGGGGACATAGTCCTTTTAGCTTCGATGCGAAGCTGAGAAGGTATTGGTTTTACTAAGATGTGTTTTTTTTTTTATTTTTATTTTTATTTTTTTTTTGTGTCTGTTACCACTTTTTCTCAGCTCTCACCGAACGGATTTCTTTCAACGATACGTCAAAAGATCACAAATCGTATCTAGTCGAAGACATTACCCTTCAAAATTGAAAAAATTTCCCTCGTTCCCTATAAATGGGGGAAACCTCCAAAAAAATTACAAATTTAAAAATCGCTAATTTTCGAAATTTTTTCAATTTTTTTTACTAAAAACTGCCGTAACTTTTTCAAAAATGAACATATCAATATAATTTTTTTTTTATAGATGCTTGATGTCTTTACCTATTATTTGGTATATTTTTTTTGTAAATTTTACCTTTTTTCTGCCCACAGGGGGGGATTGAAAATGACAACTTTTTCACAAAAAATTAACTTTTTCAACTTAACTTTTGAAAATGTTCCGGAAGGTCTGACACTTTTATATATATCTTAAATTAAAGCTAATGTAATATACTTTAATTTGAAAAAAAAAAATTTGACCTCTGGACTTGTCTTCACGGCGAAAATGGCTACCGAATGCTATTTTCGTGTGAAAATTCTCGATTTTATTATTTATATTATATTTAACTTTATAATGCTATAACTTATTGAAAAGTTTATGGATCCACACAATTTTTTTATGAGAAATAATATTTTTTAATAAACCCTTTTTCATTCGACATACTTTATCTTAATCGAGATATTAATAAGGAACCAGCAGATCAAGTAGCTTTTGGAATAAAACACCAATTTTTTTAAAATTAAACACTATCTAAAGATTTGCATCGAAGCGTTTATTTTTGATAGTGATTTTAATCACTGTCAGATATCATTATACTTGATCCAACTATACCACGTCACAACTGTGCCGCGACCCCCCTGTGCTGGGTTTTTTTAAACTTATTATTTTAAGAGAAATTGGGAAATTAAGAGAAAAACGTAAAAATATAATTTTGTACTACATATATTGTTCCTATAGTAACAATTAGAGACTAAGTACTTTTATTTTGATACATAGGTACCTAAGAAATATTTTCTAAAAAAGATATACTTTTTATGGAAGACATTAATAGTATTAGTACAAAAAATGCAAAATTTTTCTAGCATCAAGATGCACCTTTTACAATGTACTAGCATAGCCACTGTATACAGACTTATCCAATTATTTCAATAATAAAAATCATGTAGTTTTTCCTTCCTTAGTTTGATGATTTTATCTGAGAACATAGGTATAAAAGCTGAAAAGCAAAGGTCTAAATAAATAAATTTGACTTAACTTTTATTTTAATTTAAAATGTTAAGTACACCTTTTAAAGTACAAATTAATTTATTATAAAAACGTATAAAACATTTATTTATTATTATTATATATTGAATACAATATAATTTTCTACAAATTGAGTTGTTACTAATTGGTAATGCTACAAGTAGTAAAATTATTTTTACTAGAACTGTGATACATATCATAAAAAGTGTCTAATAACAGCAGAGTTTACATTAAATTTCAGCAACTGACTACATTTTTTTTTGATCCGCATTAATTTTACATGATTAGGTGTTATACAGTAATCATATAATAAAAAGTGTTTATTTTTTATAATTTTATATCCTTATTACAAAAAAAAATAATGCTATGTTCGTTTTACTATGATTAGATTTCAATAATACATTTTGTAAATAACTAACTACATTGACATGTACAATTTTATTTTTACCGTCATAATATACTAGGCAGTACAAATTTCATTTCGAATACTATCTAAACAACTTTTCTCAATCTTTATAAAATTACAAATTAAAAATTATATTCTTAAACAGTAAAAAAACCATTAGTTGGTACAAAACATAGGTGATCCGTAAGAGTTGAATTTTCTATGTTCTAGAATTAAGCTTTTAATTAAATAGTGATTTTTATAATCAATTAATTTATGAAATAACATCTATTATGATTAATTTTTTAGATTAGATATGTGGGATTTAAAAAAATTAAACATCGAGTTTCATTCATAGAAAGGTAATATTTATAAAAAGAAAATAATATGAATTGAGAGAACATAACACAGTATACAAATTGTGGGTTGCCTATTATTAACAGTTTTAATTTTGAAGGAAGTAATGTTTTCATGGCAACATTTTCTGTAGTTTTTTTTTATTAGTTATTTTAAATGATAAAATAATTAAAAATGATTTTATTTTTTAATTATTTCTTTACTTAAAAATTCTTTGATCAACATTTTTGTTGGGAATGTGCAGAAAAGATCGGTATTATATCAGACAGGCATGTTCCGTAAGTTCATTTAGAGCTACATAAAAATATTGATATTATTTCAATTCGCCAAATAACTAGTATTTTTAAGAGGGCGTTGATTTAACCAGTAAATTCTTGGATTATTAGTCACTAAGGGAACGCGCTGAGAATATCGTTCTCACAAGTGAGCTTGACTTTTATTACGTTCTCCAGCCTCCATCGTACATCATTGTATAAAATATATTCGTTTATATATAAGTAGATACCACACTTGTTGAACCGGAAGCGGACTTCCTATTTTTTCTGGCGCCAATCTTGAGTCATATTAAACCGTTGTTTTCTAAAGCGGTTAGTTAATATTAATTATGCCTAAAGAAAATTCAAAGCATATAAATATTCAACACATTTATTTCAGAGTATTATTTATTTATTAAAAAAAAAATTATTATTTTTTAATTTCAAGATTACTTAATAGTAATTTAGTTATTATAATAACAAACGGGAAATTAAGAGATTTGATAGATAATACATTTTATTATTAAGTGTTCAATTTTATTTCAACCAATTTTACTTCATTTTTAATCAAATCATTATTTAGAATTTCTAAATAATGCAGCAGTACCTAATAATAATTTACATCTGTTCACCGTGTCTGTATACATTTTTTTGTGACAACTAATTTGTAGGAATAATTGAAGTAATTAAGAAATTAGCCGGATCTGCTGTTGCTTCTTATAAACACAAAATCGTAATTCTACGAATGGTACTAAATATTTAAACTTTTTTATTGTATATAGGTACCAAATAAAATTTTGAAAATAATTATATAAATAACGTGTGTTAAGGCGAATTGGTTATTACTTTTTTGATTTTCTAAAACACAAATAATATTTAGTTTTGGTTTTTCGAACTTTTCCACATTATGAAGAAGGTCATTAAGTACTAAAATAAATGTTATGTTTAGAGCATCACTAAGATGTCTACATGTCTTGAGACTTGATTTATTTACTTAAATATATTGTTGTTAAAACTCTGTAAAACCGTTCTTATAAAACCTTACATTTGTAATAATTCACCATAAAAATAGATGTGTGTGTGTGATATGTGTCGATTACGTTGATTGGAGAATATTATACTACGAAATTTCTCACTATTCACGATTGTAATAAATTTGAATTTAGTGTAAAATGAATTTCGGAATATTCACCATCAAAATACTCTTGTATTTATACGAGTTAAGGTATAATAAGGTTCTTTTTTAATTATAATTAAGTGTGTTGGCGTGTAATGACCGTATAGTATGAATGAAAACGATGACGTATCTTTCGGTCGTGACGACATGCATACGATGCATAGTGAGTAATACTACTTGCCATTGTTCGTCTAGTTCATTCATAAAAATCTGTTTTTAATTGTGTATAGCAATTGTGTCTCAGTGAAAAAACCCAAATAATAATTTTACTTATTTAAGCTGAACGACAATGACCTTGATAGACACTACAATAATACAACAAGATAGATAGTACTGAATAAAATTAATAGCATAGCAGTGACGTATGAGTCAATTTGCACTCTAAGAAGTTAATTTAGTTTTTTGTTTATAAAAATCTTTTTGCGTTTATCTCAACTCGCGGAATTGAGATCATCCGATGAATTTTTTCACATGCGTATATGTTATAAATATAGAAATAATGTTATACAACATCATGGTTTTAATTTCGTGACCACGTTTTCAGTGAACCGGTTTTTAACTATTCTGAAAGACTTTTTCACACATCTATTTAAAAATTGAACGAGGTGTTCGCTACGTATTCCAATGAACGACCAGAAATAAGTGGTTTATTCAACTATTGCTTTAAGGAACCTCCCAATGCTTGGATATCGTACCAATGGATAATGGCTATTAAGACCTGTACTGGAGCTTATGACATCGCAATTAATGTTTTTAAGTTAAACGGCGGTTTCTTAGAATATGCTTTCGAAGACTCGTTTTCTGACATGCGGTTTGCTTTCAAACTCAACGTCTTATCTGAATGCGAACATAATTTTCAGTTATATGCTGCCAGACAATATTTTTATAAGTATTATTATATACAACTACAAGTAGAGAAATTAAATATTCACCATTAAATAATAAGCCCTAATTAGGCGTAAAAAAATAACATTTTATAGAGATACATTGATGTACAGACATAGTACATGATTGTCGCCAACAGGTGAACGAGAAACTGTGCCGCCGCCACTGAAGGGGTTAGTCAGCCACTGTAGCCGAAGTCTTGGAATTGGGATGCGTCATCCGCATATACAATATCTTAGATGTACATACCATACGGTATATTATGGAAAATGTCAGTGATTCAGTTTTGATCTTAACATCATAGTATTCGCAACTATGTTGATCGAAGTAATATCGTATTCAGACGTTAAAAAAATTGTTTTTAAAAAAAGCCTGAAAAAATTTGACCAATATCAAATTTAAATATTTTTGTTCCGGTTTTTGAGTTGAAGGTTGGTTTGTTAATATGATTTTATGTGCACGAGTTGTCGATGATAGTGCGTTATCATCCCGATCGATTTGCTAGATTTTTGACGGAAATGCTTTGGTTTAAAGTGAAAAATAGGTAATGTCCAGTTCTGTCGATGATACATCAGATGGTCGAAATTCTACGGATAACGTTGTTTTGCCTAACGGTTAGTTAAATGTAATATTTTGGTTATGTCTAAAGTTATTTAAGTATTTTTAATATGTTCATGTTTAATGAGAAAAACATTTTATTTCAATGAAAAGTTTATTTAATAAATCGTGCAAATTATAAGCAAAAATAAGGACAGTGTCCTTTCTAGAGTTTAAAAAATGTAGTACATAAATCAATAAAAAGAAAACAATTATTTTTTGTTTATTGTTTAATTAAAAAAATAGAACTAATATTTCATATACTTTTCCTTTAACATTTGTTATTGTACAATTTTTAATTGCTATCAAGTATTAATTGAATAAATTTTTGAAAATGTAATTTAACTAATTAAACTTTTATATTTATAGTATTTGTACTATATTTGAGTATTATAAACAATTTTCATAAAATTATGACATTTAAACATATTTCGAACAGTAATATGAAAACTGTATGTTTTCATTAAACCTGTATTTAGGAACTTTGAGTGATTTGAAGGTATCCTTTTTGTTACAGAAAAATAAAAATAATAATAGATTTATTTTTTGCTCACTTTAATAACATTTGCTTTAGTGTCTTGCAGCATAAAACTTTTGAAAACCTTTAGAGCTTCATGAAAACATTGGTAAAAGTGGTTAAAATTTATTTACTTAGTTTAGACTTTACTTTAGTTTAACATTATTTTTAATAATAATGCAAACGTAAATATCATCACCTCCATTCCCAAACCACGTATCTCTATTTTTCAAGAGGAAGAAAAGAATATATAATTTTTATACAGCTAACAACAGAAATGGTTTGCAATAACCAAAGGAAAATTAAATTATGTATAATTTTTTAGATCCGATTGACTGGACCAAGGACCACGTTGCTGCGTGGTTAAAGTGGTGTGCGAATCAATTAGAATTATGGCCATTGCCAAGACCTGAAGATTTTCCAGATTCTGGACGTGGACTTTGTTCTTTGAATAGATCAGAATTCGATTGTAGATCGAGAAACAGAAGATCTGGTCGATTATTGTTGTTACACTTGTCACTTCTAAGACAACCTGTCACAGGAACACCTCCCAGTCCTAGTTTGACTACACCTGATGAAGGTAAGGAGTGGAAATCAATAATTTTAATTTAAACCTGTAATTGTGGTTTATGATTAAAAATATTCTCAATATATATTAATAAATAAATAACTAACATGTCGGCTTACCATTTACATTTTTGATAGACTACTTTATTCTATTGGAAAAAAATAATCATATCATTTTTAATAGTTGTATATACAAATTATTTTTTTTAATTAGCCATTTGATCTATCCTAAATAATAATTATGTTGAGTTATAACCACTATTAATGCAATAATTGTATTAAGAAAATTAATTTTGGTGATTTTTAGTATCATAAATAATATCAAATATTCCTTATAAGAGTATCAATTTTATTTCATTTCATAACAATATACATGTTTAACTAACTTATAAAATAAAAAATTGCTTATCAATAAAAATTTGTTACTAGTATCTTGGAAGTTATTAACATTTTTAAACATGAACTGGAGGGAGAGCATGGCAGAGTAATACATAATGATAAAACAACATAACCCATGCCTTTACTACATGCTATATTTAAAAATAGTTATAACTTCCGAAATAATGGATCAAATGTTGTTATCGACCAGTCAGTTTTCTTAATTAAAACATTTTTTATTTAATAAGCTAGCTATGTAAATTAATAAAATTTAAATATACCGAATTTAATTTTCTGACAATAATTATTTTAAGAGAAAATGATCGGCTAATATTAAAATAATAATTGTAAGTTTTAATCAACGAACCATTTTTTATCATGTTTGAACGAAGTATTTCTTATTTTCATTTTTTAAAAATATTCAACAAATAACAGCTTTGATTCGGTTAAAATGTAATTAATTTATACTATAATCAATATATTGATATAATACTACAATAGATAAAATATTATTTCTGAAAGAATGAAATATATGTACATTTTACTTATATTCATTAGTGTAGGTTATTATAATGCTCGGATGATTAAACTTCAAGGATTTTAATACTAAATTGTTCAAAATTAATTTTAGTATATACATAAAAACACGATATTTTATCCAAGTGCTATCTCAACTAGTATATCGGAAAAAACTGTATTATTTTTACAAAATGTTATGATAACCGTTTTGCTTAAATGTAGATCAATAGATACAAAATTGCACGACTAGCGTTTTCCCCATAGAATACGTCATCGTTAAAGCTTAACACAAAAATAAGGGATAAAAATCCCTCTGGATCTAAAGTGTAATATATCACGCGGGGACACAGGTAATCCCTTCTAAGGCTTGCTGTCGCTTAACCTCGGCCATTATTGCTTCTCGACATTTGACTTTCAGATTGCAAGATTTTTTTATCCTTTAACAGTTAGTCCTATTTTTATTATTTCGTTTTCAATCCATGATATATAAGACAATCACCACCCAACTACAAAAAAATATATTCACAATAATTGTGAACCATATAAGCATATATAAAACTAAGTATAACATGTATAGTTTCAATTTTCATATGAGAATGATTTTATTTTGTTTTTTTATTAAATCTAAAATTTGCTATTTTATCTATTTTATTAGGTTGAATTATTTGAAGTTGCAACTCGGCTAAAAAATGATAGTGTTTGAAAGCCTATTCTTTTTTGATATTAAAAAACTAAAATATTTTGTAAGTGTAATAATATTGAATGACTCAAAATTTTAGCAAGAAAACTTTTTAGAATTAATTTTTTGGTTAGTCAGATTATAATAGGCTGCACCGTTTCAATTGTTAGTCATATATTAATAATATTAATCTGCATTGAAATGATGTATTGATTATTACTCATTCATTTATTACTGCATTATAATTTTTGCTTATTTTATATTAATTGAATGAATTGATAAAAATAATAAAAACTATATCATACAGAATGATCGGTATATTTTAAATCACTCGGTTACTAGTAAAATAAATAAAATAATGGAAAAACAATTTTTGAATTCTTTTAATTACATATAATTCTTTATTTATCAGCTAATAATTACTTTTTAGAATCATCCCTTATAACTTAAAAAGGTATCAACTTTATTTTTTTTTAATAGCAACATACATATATACTAGATAATAAAATAGGAAATAATTTAATTAAGAAAATGACTGGTCGATAACAACTTTTTGACAAGTATTTCACAAGTTATTAACAATTTAAAGTATTTGAGTGGAATAATATAGTGAGTGTTGCTATTCTTTATCACTTGTCATTACGTGCTCTTCGTCCTGCCTAAATATAAAAATGAAAATAACATCCAAAGTACTGGTCCAAGAGTTGTTATCGACCAGTCATTTACTCAATTAGATAATTTCCTATATTTAAGCTACTAAAAAATATATGTTGCAATTTAAAAGAATAAAATTGAAACCCCTATAAGCTATAAGTAATGATTCCAAAAAGTAATTCAAAAGGATAAATAAAAAATATGAGTAACTAAAAGAAATCAGAATTGTTTTTTCAATATTGTATTTATTTTTAGAGTAATCGATTGGTTTATGACGAACCGATTACTCTGTAATTTATGATATATTTGAAATGAAAAATCGAATATACGATTATATATTACAATTATTATATTACTATAATATTTGAGTTTTGATAGTATAGTATTAATAAAAATAAAAAATGTTAATATTTAATTTTAATTGCTATTTACTTAAGTAAATTCATTTATATTAGTACTATAAATCTGTTATACAAGCCTATTTTGACTCGGATTAAATTGGATACGGAGTTTTGTTAGGATAATGAAACAATAATGGTACACACTTGGGGAAGAAAGAAATAAAATATAAACGGTTGCAGGAAGGAAGGAAGAAATCTCGGGGATTTGCGTTGTCACTTGAAATATTTTCTTATTAATAAATGGATAAAACATTCTAGTTTAAAATTCACTTAAATGTAAAAAAAAAATCGTAATCAACAATAACTACACTGTAATATTTTTATGAGACAATATAAACAAACATAGTTTTGTCATTGAAGTTATGCCTACTGAATATTGACCTTTTACAGATACGGAACCAGAATTTCTTAAAGGGAGGGGGGTGGTTTTTAGATGTCAAAATCAATGTTTTGTATATTTTATATATCAAAATATTTATTTTTAACTAGGTGATGTTAACTCATAATAATTAATATTGATGGGTAATTAAAATGAATTAATTTCTATTTGAATTTTACTCGCACAGAAAAGAAAATGAACTATATATATTTTTATTTTCAACATTTATTACATAATAGATGTTATAAAATGCAATATCATCGGGAATTTCTTTAATTTCCACTAAAGGAAATTATCAATTTGTACATTGTATGTAATGTGCATAAAACAATTGGAAGGGGAGATTGTTTTTAAGTTTTCCAAAAACGATCGGATTAAATTTTTGTCAAAGATTCTCTATTATTTTTTAGAATGAAATTATAAATATTGTTAATCATATAATTGAAAAATGTCGTTCAAGTAAAATCAAGATAAGTGAAGAAAAATTAAATGTTGATTTTACATTGAAAATGTTTAGTTCTTTATACAAGTTTGATTTTTGCACATTGGACACAATGTATGCAAACTCTTTTGAAAACAATAGTGTCCTTTGTGCGGGCGTTTATATTAGATAATATTGTAAGAATGATGCTGAAAAATGTTCGCCTCCCGTGTTGATTCTCTGTGCGGTAAAAGAAAACATTGTCATCGACCCCCACGGCTTCTGCCGTTTTAATAAATGCTCTATGTGCTACGTCTATATCACTAGGGGGGGGGGTGCGTATATTATGTAAAGCTCTCGAGACGAGCACTCTGCCGGAGAAAACGATTTAATAACGTCAGCTTAGACCCCCGTCGCCGACTGTCATTATTGTTATTATTATTTCACCCCATCCGAAACCTTATGAACGCTATCCGTAAATCAAATTATAATAAGCTAGCGCGTGCGTATCACATTAAATCTTAACTCTAAAGACCAACCCATTTCTTTTGATGTACTTATGTGCCTTCTAACAATTGAATTATAGCAATATTATTGCATTGTGTTTCATTCAGTGGTGACTTGTCAGCTATAAGGTGCTTTGCATAAATATAAGTAATTTACTCGGCTGTCAATTATACGTATATTAACTACTAATAAATTTGATTTCACTACTGTCACGTGGGAAAGTGAAACTATAAAATAAACACAAGTACCTTAATAATCAAATACTTAAAGTTTAAGTTTTTAAAAATTATAACTAGATTAATAAAAAAATTATTATCTATTTTTCGATAATCATTAAGTTCGTTTAATTCAATTACAATTGTAGTTCAAGTAAAAATCTAACAATTAACTCTTATCACTTTTTTTATAATTACAATTTTTTCTTATAGAAAAATAATTTAAATAACTTCTCATGAATTTCGTTTTAAAAGTAAGAAATGGAAAGTTGAAATCATTTATAAAATAATCAATTTAGAATTAGTAATTGAAAGCTGAAATATTTCATAATTTTTCTTATATGTTATACATAGTTGTTAGTAAATACAAATAAATTAACAGTTTCTAACCATAAATTGGATTATAATTTATAATTACATATCTTCGTTTTACTTTGAAAATACTAGTTAAGAATAAAAAACATTTTTCTCGTGGTTAACATTTATTTAAAAATCAAAAGTTCAAGTTAAAACGTATAGTTACCATTTCATTTTGATGGTTATTTCAATGGAGAAATCTTTATTTTATATACAATCCAGTATGTTCAGGATACGATAGTTGATACAAAACACATTCAGCTATCGGAAACGTATTTACACTTAAAATAACCTTAATGAAAGTAGTGGACGCTAGAAAAATAAGATGGATAAACACAGGAAAACGAAAAAAGACCTTTGGTCAATCCTCTCGGGACTTGATAACAATTTTTACCCTCACGCCGTGTCGCAATAGATAACATCGGTCCTATTGTTAAAAATGACCTCTTTTAATCAAATCCCCTTTCTTTAACTATTTTATACATTAAACTTTGCAATCGCTGTTAAGATCCAAAACAATTCCGAAAACAAATATCATTTCAAACTGATCTAAAGTCAATTTTACTCAAGTATATATTTTTACAAAACTAACATAAATAAATAAAATTTTAAAAGTACATGTTGTTATGAGTAATTCTTAAAATATCCATGCATAAAACTATTTTATAAAAAAATATTTAGTAGCATAATATATAAAATTATACATGCACAATATTAGATGGTCCTTTATTGATATTGTAATTTTTTTTAAGTCTACATTAGCTAACCATCAATCTGCTTTTAATAGTAAAACAAAACATTTAGGTTTTTAGGTTTATATAACACCTCTTTAGTCTTCCTCTTTTGTTCATTATATTTGCGTATATGTACAAAAATTATAAACAAGTATAAATTTAATATGTAAATAGGAAATTTAGGGGTAAAATAAAAATCTAAAAAATACGGGTTAATTTTTGTTTACCATCTAGAGCAATTGATGACTTTACATCATGTCCTATATACGGACCACCTTAATATATATTAATTATTTTATATCAATAATAGTTTTTTGATTATTTTATCTAAATAACAAAGATCCATGAAAATTTCTAGCTATTGATAGTATTCAGACAAAAAAAAACATCCCCGTTAAAATATCACACATGAATATTAACCTTATTTCTCGCATTTGATATTATTAAATTTCAAAAATCAATAATAACATTGTTATAGATTCAAAATAAGTGTTCAACGAGTTAAATCAGTAAATATACATAAAAATTAAAAAAAAAAAGTTATTCTAATGTGCGATCAACATTAGGGGGTGCTTTGTGTTTTAAATTTAACTGCAGTGGTGATATAAACCACCCTGAAGGAAAAACGCCAATGTATGGGCGGTGCATGTAATCTTGTGGGGCGTGGAAGAAAAATGGTGCTTCCGGCCTATCGACGGCATGCGTTAACTTACTTTTGGCCCAAAGAAAAATTTCTGAAAAACCCCAAAACGTTTGGCCCGCCAAAACGTATTCGCATTTGAAGTAAGATTGTTGGCTTTACATCACCGGTAACGCCGTTGTCGTCTTGTCCGACATGCGAATCGCTGGAACGTGAGTTTGGGAGATGTGGCAGCTCTCAGCTTGTGAACGGCATGATCTTAGAAGGCATTTGCAGATGGCCACTGCTCTAAACCGGGCCAAACCGTTTGGACACTCGGCACATCAGCTTTTTTACAATGGTTTGTTAAATTTGTTTTTACATCTTTGCGAATATTTCATGGATTATAGGTACGAAATAAAGGCTAATGTTAGTTTATAAAGAATAATCATTATTTCAAATCTAACTGTCATGGATAAATTAGCATTTTTTGGATTAATTTTACTTAAAAATTACACTTGAGCCCTTGTTAAATGATTCTTACTAAATTCATAAAAAATATTAATATAAGGGTTTGTCGCCAATATTAATTTAAGAAGACGTTGTCAATTTTGCGTTGAACAATACTTTAATTATGAGAATAATTTTTTAGAATAATTTATTAATGGATAAATAATTTAAAAAGAAAGAAACTAAAAACTATATGTTGACTATAAAATCTATAAAATATTTTCTGTTTTTTTAAAGAATATTATACATAAAAATCAACAAATGTTTTTAAATTACATTGTTTTTTTGTAACACCATATTTATACGAGTAATATCCTTTTTTTATAATAAAACCAAAAGTAAATGTTTATTTAGTAACAATAGAAAGGATTAGACGTATAATCATAGATAATCTCATGTCTAGATTTTTTAATAACAATAAAAATTATTTTAAAAAGATTATCATTCCGAGTTGTTTTATATTTGTAGCAATTATGGTTTTACGTAATAATTTGTTAATAGGTCAATTATTATTTAATGATTTATAATTAAAATAGTAGTAAACTTTTTTATTATATGAAATGTTATCACTTTATGTTTAAATGCGCTTTTCAATCAAGATTTTAGTACAATATTATTAAATCATACAATAAGATAGAATGTCACACACTAATGCTGAGTGAAATATCGATTAGCGAATATATTCGCTATAAAATTTTACTATATTGTTAATAATTTAACTACTATTTGAATAATAAATAAGCATTTAAATAAATCATTTTTTTTTTTTAATAATAAACAAGTACTTTGAGATATTGTACATTATTGTATACTTTATTTCTACGATGTTTAAGGTTTAAGATCTTTACTTATCTTATAAAAAAATATAAAATTATGAATTCTATTGGAATTTCTTTCTAGAAAAGTTGTATTTTCGAAAAAAAAACACTACGATAGTAATTTAATAATTGTATATAATTTTTACAGAATAATTAGTTAATCTTGTAAATACTTATATTGCTGTTGACCCTAAATAGTTTAGAGAAGAGGCGATGTGACTAAGAAAAAACTTTTTTTAAATACTTATCATTGATAAATTAAAATATCTAAAAACAATTGTTTGTTCGGTGATTAAATAAGCAACATAGTAACATAGTAATTTATAGAATTAATCATTTTCCTATTTTGTAGACCCTTATGAAGTAGTTAATGCAGCAAGTAGTCGTTTGATTGCACAGGCTAGTGCTGGTTCTGGTCAAATACAACTGTGGCAGTTTTTGTTAGAACTGTTAGCTGATTCCAATAACGTGGGGTGTATTTGTTGGGATGGTCCTGGAGGAGAGTTCAAACTCATCGACCCAGATGAGGTAGCAAGACGATGGGGGGAACGCAAATCTAAACCCAATATGAATTATGATAAATTAAGCAGAGCACTAAGGTAAATATTGTTTAATAGTATTATTATTTTCTTAATAAAATTTATTTTTTCTATAAATTTACGATGCATAATCATATTTCCAAATAGCTATAGCTGTAAATTGTTCGAATAACATTATAAATTATTAGAGAATGTGTAATAATTTTCTATAAACTTTAATTATCTATAAGCAGAGACGTATTTAAGGAATGGTTTGAAGGAGCAAGAGTCCATCAGAAATTATTAAGGGCGAATCTCAATATTTAAGAGCAAAACCCTACAAATATTGTCAACATACAGTCGATCAAAAATTTTTTTATTCTTATATTGGTAGTTTAGATTCATATGATATTTTAGGTTTTTAATTTTTGTTTCAAGGTTATCATCAAAAGTTCGATGAATGCTTGAAAAAAGTTGACGTTCCATAAAATATTTGATAGAAAAAAATGTTGCCTTTTTTTGTCCATCAATATTAATTTAAAGCGCGTTTTGAAAAAATTTGGCTGCCAAAATTCATATAGCCTTACGTTAAAATTTTAAATATAGCCCTGTCTATAACGTATAATGGTTATTCTTGGGTTTTTAGGTACTACTACGATAAAAATATTATGACCAAAGTACATGGAAAAAGATATGCTTACAAATTTGATTTTCATGGATTAATGACTGCTTGTCACCAAAGTCAATCACAGCTTACTCAGACATCACAACCAACTGCAGCTGGTCAAACTCCATCTTCAGCATCGTCTACATCATCGACAGCGCCGGATTTCGGAGGACTTTATAGTCAGCAGCAGGTATCAACGCCTACCCCAATTTTCCCCACTGGACCTTCTTACTGGGCATCGTCTGCAGCCGGTTTGTCTACCTTGTACCATCATCAACATCCAAATACACCCCGAACATATCCGCCATAATATTTACCTTAAAATAATGTAATCAATAATTGTGTTATAGATAAATTATTAATTTATATATATGTATTTTTGTTGTTTTCCTTGAGGCATATCTAGACTGTATTAATAGTTTTGAAGTAATCAAAAATATTTTTTTTTTGATTACATAACTATTACGATTTCTCATACAAGTTCGAAAAAATATTAAAAATAGTCAAGATTGGTTTCCTTATAACAAAATGTTAAAAATTATTATTACACTTTTATTTAAACAGTATGAAGTAGGAATTTTTATTTTAATTTTGAATACTTTATGAAACTGTTACAAATGACATGATACAAAACTCTAAATTTGGCTAAGGGTAAACTTGTAAATACATACATGTACACATTTTGTCAAATTGACTTTAAAAATAATCAGTTGTAAAATTGCTGGTGTAACAAAATTTTTGTACTAAATATTATAGTAAAAAATGTAATTTTAACATGTTATGTTTGTAAATATAATTTAATGTTATATCTGTTTTGTTAAAATATGTTCCTACTGATACACCAAAAAAAAAAAAACAAAATGTATAGTTGTTATTTCCTAACTGTAGTTATATTAATATACAATCGCGAGTAGATTTTCACCTAGTAGACTAGTTGAGTGTCAATATTATCGACACTCCACTAGTATATTTTAGAGGTTAAAATAACACTCCTTTAAATCGTTAGCGTAATAAGCAATTATGTCGTTAAAAGAATAGTATTTGTAGTAAAATTCTTTTCAACTAATGGCATAACCAGAAAACAATTTTTGCGGGGGTATAACACCCTTACCACCCTTTCATGACGTCACTAATTCCAAGTACAATTATTAATTTAATAACAAATTAATTCAAATTAAACAATGACATGTTATGTTTTAAACAACATTATTCGTTGTTATTCGTACACCAAAATAGTAATTTCAAGGTTTTAGTCAAATTAAATACAGCTACAATATTTCATTTGGATTCAACATGCATCATACTTAACAAATTATATCATTGAAAATAATTTAAAATTATGTCAATTATAATACATGAATCTCTTATGAATAATGTCTTGTTTAACTATACAAATACCATAGAATACATAGCAATTTTAAATCGTTGCGCTTTGTTAGTTAAAAAATCGAATTATCTTTTTTCTACTTATTTAAGTACTATAGTAATAATAATCAGCTGGTTCATTATACAACAATTTTAAGTAGCAAACTTTATTTGCTAAATTTATAAATAAAAATTTTAAAAAATACATACATTCATCAATAAATATAAAAATTTTTTTTGAATATTACAGAAACATTTAATATGTTTTGTTTTATATATTTTTATATTCTATTTGATATGTTGAAGTTGTCTACAAATCAAAATCCGAGTAATATTTGTATTCGGCTATATTGAGTCGTACTTACTTTGAATTTTATCGGATAGGATTGAATTCATATTTTTTGGTCCGTCCAGGACTCTGACACGTATAATTCAAACTGATCTAACATATAACTCAACAAAGGTGTAAATTATATTTGATAGAATTATGTTTGTTTTTAACACGCTTATATTAGTTTCACCTGTATGTTTGTAACTCTCAAAACGACACGCGTTATCGCATATTCCATCGTCTAGACTAGACTGTCATAACGTATTCACCCCACCCCACGCCTCGCTCATCTCACGCCGGCAATACTATTCCTGTATAAATTTATTTTTGGTTATCGTACCCGTACACACGTGCGTGTCTAGTGATGTGCCACNTTAATAAGAAAATAAGACCCTAATATAATATTTTTATGAATAGTTATTATTTCTATATAAATTTTGAATAATGAATTTATTAAAATTTTAGATATAATAAATCTGATGTTAATAATAATAAAATATAGTAAAAGCTGTTTATAACTATTAGGGATTATAATTTTGTCATAGTAATAATGGATGTTTATTTAAAATATTGAAATTTGAATTTATAAATACTTTTGTTTATTATTGATCTTTAACAAATCATCACTTAATATATATTTTTTTATTTAAAGCTCGCGGGCGCAATAATCGGCAAGGCAGGCGCTAGAATACGCCGAATTCGCCAAGATTCAGGAGCCGGAATCACAATTGGCGAACCAACTGAAGGCTCAGATGAACGAATAATCACTATTAATGGCACAGACAGTCAAATACAAATGGCACAGTATCTTTTACAACAATGGTAAGTGTGATTATTTACTATAGAATTAATATAAACACGAATATTGATACTAACATTAGAAGCAATAGCAGCTAACTTACGGGATTCAGCTACAAGATTATACGTTATCTTCCTTATGGAAGACTAGTGATTTTGTTGTTTTAATGTAAATCTTCCTAACAAGAAGTCTCTAGTCTTCTTATGGTAGTAACGACTAACAGCATGTGTACGCTATAACTGCTTTGATTTATATATTTCAAGAATTATTTGTATTTTACTGCGCTTTCATATTAAAATTACTAAATAGTGTATTAAAATTATGTTTAATTATATAATAGTGGTAAAAAATGAAAAATTTTCAGCAGTTTATCTGTAAATTTTTTTATTAATATTTAAATAATCAAAATTTTATTTTAAATAAATTTTAAGTCATCAAAATATTTATAACTTTAATATCTATATCAACAATTATACACTATGGTGGACATAAAATGTACAATATTTATTTTTTTGACAACTCGTGTAATTAAGGCTATTATTGCAAGAGTGACTAAGAGCTGACTTATACATCAATAAAATACATTATATTTGATCATAAGAGTCAAACTTACAAATTTTAGGATCAATTCTACAATTTAAACAATCTAAATAATAAATTTATTAATTCATATAGAATATTCTTGTTGATGTTTAAAATTATTAATAGATTTAATTATACCTTTAGTGTAAACAAAAATGGTTAAAGGAATAATACACCTTTTTTTTTAATTTAAATTTTTGTGCATTACATTGTTCTTCATAAATTTTTAATATTAAATTCTAAATAAAAATAATACTTAAAATATAATTTTTTCAAATTAAAATCTTGAGTTTCTTTCCCTGTTTATTTCGTGCATCATTAATTTTTTGTAATTTCATATTTTGATGTAATTTATTTGTGATAATCTTAAAGTTAATTTTTAATTATGTATTTAAATATTTTTGTTAGAACCAATAATAAATAAGGAATTGAATAGGTTTTAACATTTGTTTTAATTTTTAGTGTTCAAGCTCAAAAGCCTGGAGGACCTGGTGGAGATGGTTTCATGTAAAAGCCAACACAGTTACTTCATTACTAATAAATAATGATAAAAATCACAATATTATACACCATTCAATCTATATAATTAGTAAAAATCTAGATCCTCATATACGTCTGTTGTTTTAAATTGTCTTTTTTTAAACTCAATGAGTAATTGTAACTAATTGTTGTTTTATTGCCAGTATCAGTTGTTTGTGCTTTGATAAACTTTTCAATTTTTAATTTTTTTTTGTAAATATATGACATTTATTTTCAGTAGAGATTCCTTATTTCTAACCAATACATGTAAAGGTTTTTTTTATTGATAAACGTACTCTAAAACATTGCATTAAACAAGTTTTGAATTGCTAATTTTAGGTTTTTTATTAATGAAAACTTATTTGACGTATTCTAATATAAATATATATATATATATGAATAATTATATACGTATTTATATCTATGTGTATACATATGTATATATATACATAATAAATAAAATTTAAGATATTATGTATAGGTCTAATTTATTTTAGCTTTTTTACATAAATGTGTAATGATTAGACCTATAATTTATTGTGGATTCATAGTGTGAATGAATGTATTTTTAACAGTATGTAGAAATTCCTGTTAATTAAATGTTTCATGAGCCAATCATTGTTTTGTTTTTTTAATTCTATTTACAGATATAATGTACTAATTCATGTAAAAGTTGATAAGCTTGACTTTTAATTATAGAAGAATGAAAATTTTTGAGTCATGTTACATAAAAACATCATTAGTTGTCTTGTGATGTAGTGGTTCATTCTTTCATACGAATTTTTAAAATTTAGTACCAGAAATTAACGAGAATCATAAAATGATTTAATAGACATCATTACTATGATACATATTATGTATCAGAGTATGGATCAGTGGTTTTCAAATAGGAGGTAATTAATGGGATAGTCTCCCATTGACCTCAGCTTTTTTACAATTTGTATAATGAATTAAGTTAGTAATCTAGTATATATTTTATTCTCTACTTGTATAATATATATATTTTTTCTTTTGGGAACTATATATGATAATTCAATTTAAAATTAATTATTTAATACTGCTCGGGAATGATGTAACCTCTAATACGCCATTAATGTGTTATATTATTTTATCATTAGACATTTCTCGATCACGCCACGCCTGCTAATTTGTAAAATTGTTAATTATTTCCGAAATAATGCACCAAAAGTTGTTATTATCTCATTTAAAAATAATAAGTTGGATACTTATTGTTAAAGAACAAGAGATAAATATAAAAAGTTAAATAACTATTTATAAATAAAAAATTAATTGCTACTTGAATAAGAAAAAATCTAAAAGTTAATATTTGAGATGAAATTAGTGATTAAGTATTAGGTCTGTAAGTATATGTTTCAAAAGACACACGAGCATAATAGATTAAAAATATTTAACGTAAAAAAGAATTCCAAATTCCTGATTATGTGTATAATCAGGAATTTATAATTCTATTATGACAGTAGAAATATTAGGCTTTCATAGTTCATATTAATTTGTAGTAATAGATATAAAAACTATTAATTTAATTTTTTTTTCAATCAAAGGTTTGAGGTCTTATTATATGATTCATATTATTGTTTATATTCTCTTTTTGCAACTAATTGTTACAGGACCGTCTTAAAGTTAAATAAATATAATTTAAAAAACTAAAAAAACACGCTTTTAAAGCACATCGAACTAAAAAGTTCAAAATAATTTTTAAAATAATTATGAACAAAAAATACTAGTATTATTGTGATAAAAGCGTTGGGCGCTCAATATACGAAAGATATGGCACAAAGCACCCACGCTTTTATCACAATAATACTAGTCTTTTTTGTTCATAATTATTTTAAAAATTATTTTGAATNGTGAAAAATAAATATAGTTTAAAAAAAACTAAAAAAACACGCTTTTAAAGCACATCGCACTAAAAAGTTAAAAATAATTTTTAGAATAAGCTTAAAATAATTATGAATAAAAAATACTAGTATTATTGTGATAAAAGCGTGGGTGCTTTGTGCCATATTTTTCGTATATTGAGCGCCCGACGCTTTTATCACAATAATACTAGTATTTTTTGTTCATAATTATTTTAAAAATTATTTTTAACTTTTTAGTTCGATGTGCTTTAAAAGCGTGTTTTTTTAGTTTTTTAAACTATATTTATTTTTCACTTTTTAGTTTTATGTTATGATAGTAGTTACTATCAATATCATGGTTGTAACGGGTAAAGGGGNTTATGATAGTAGTTACTATCAATATCATGGTTGTAACGGGTAACGGGAAATCGGGGTTCGATTCCGGGGAGGGAGTCTGAGAAACAGCTACCACATCTAAGGAAATTAGCAGGCGCGTAAATTACCCNGAAAGCAGCAGGCGCGTAAATTACCCACTCCCGGAACATGGAGGTAGTGATGAAAAATGACGATACTGGATTCATCCTTTGTAATCGGAATGAATGAGTTCTATATCCTTAAATAAGAATAAAGTGTGTTAATCAGAGGTGTCGTGGAGCGTATACCCGTGTATACGGCGTATACCCACTTCTTTGTTTTTCTGTTATTGCGTATACTTATAAAATCATGAGTGATACGCGGGTATACGGCGTATACCCAGTGTTAGTTTTCTTATTAGTGCATATACGTATTTATAAAATAGTTAAAGAGTATAGACTAAAGAATAAAATAAAAAGTAATATGTGGGTATCGAATATAGGTACGTTTGTCATAAAACACAAATTTTGAATAATTCTTATCAGTTTGTTTAATCTCTACAGTCATACCACATATAAACATATATCTGAAGTTATAAACACACAAATATGGCTCGAGACTATTATCATTTTAAAAATAGAATATAAATGTAAAACAAAACACTGTCAAAGTGTATAAATAAATATCAATAAAATAAATAGGATAATGNCATCCAAGGAAAGCAGCAGGCGCGTAAATTACCCACTCCCGGAACATGGAGGTAGTGATGAAAAATGACGATACTGGATTCATCCTTTGTAATCGGAATGAATGAGTTCTATATCCTTAAATAAGAATAAAGTGTGTTAATATATATTTTTAATAGTAATTAGAATATATATATATATATACATGTAAAGCGACTGAAGTACGTAAACGTATCATGCATTAGGTACAGTCGTGTTTTGTGGGCGAGATTTAAAGCGTGTTTTTTTAGTTTTTTTAAACTATATTTATTTAGACTCGATTTCACAAAACTATATTTTTGGTGTTCTGTTAACAGAAAAGGTTTTAATCTAAAATATATATACAGCGCTATCTATGTAAATATTAATTACATTTTGCATTATTGAACAATTTATATTAATATTTAATATTAATCGCATTTATAAAATTTTTACAGCCTGATTTTAAAATTATCGATTAAAAATAATTAAATATATCCGATAAAGATTTATTTAAATGGGTTTTAGTTAATTAAACAAAACATAATATAGTATAATACATTAAACCATTTTTTACTTTGAATTTTATATTAACTTGATTTCAATATTTCTGCAATAATTATAATAATTATATATTTATTTGGCAAAACGTAAATAACATACAATTGAAATTTTTCTTTATTATTTAAAAAAAATACAAATATATTTTTCTTACTAACATTTTATAGTGTAGCTAGAAGTTGTGGAGATGTTATTAAGTTGGCTATACTGTGCTACCGGAAAGACGCTGGTGCCTCTGTCCCGGCGGCGGGCTTATGTTTTGGTGCGGCGACGCATGATGTGGATGTCGCGATATGAAATACGATAGAGGAGGTATCTAATTTTTATCTTAATAACAACTCGAAAAAAACCAGTGGAACGTTCCGGCGCCTTTTCTAGTAACTCTCCATGTGTGTTTCGCTATTAATGTATTATTTTTATTACATAAAATATCAATCTTTATTAATTAGCTGCTCAGTATCTGAAATAAATTTTGGCCTATTATTTCTGAAGAGTTGTTACAATAAGAAGTGAAAACTATTGTTTGAGACGCACGTTTATCCTTGCCCTCGACGTTTCGGTGTTTATTTAATGATAAAGTAATTATTGTAGCTATATGATGATGGTGTACTTCTATTGTGATCAATTGGTTAGTTAGACGTAAATTTTTATACATGTAAGTATAAGTTGGACATATCTGAAATCATTTGTACTTGTTGATTACTATTTTGGATTGGCCATCAATCTCTATTGGTGTGTGTGGCATTTGGTGGATGAAATGAAACTGGTCGACAATGTGGTGCGTAGCTTCAAAGTGGCTAAAGTGTTTCGGGAAAATACTGATAAGATCAACAGCTTTGACTTTTCACCTGCTGGTGACTATATAATATCGTGCAGTGAAGATGATCAGATTGTTATATATGATAGTCAGAAAGGTGAATTATCTAAAACAATCAATAGCAAAAAGTATGGAGTTGATCTCATTCATTTTGCACATACTAAAACCACTGCTATACATAGTTCCACCAAAGTTGATGATACTGTGAGGTATTAATAGTTTTGTCTTTGTAACTAATTATTTCTAACTATGTCTAATAATATTGAAGAATTATAATAGATTTTATTGCATTTTTTTAAAAATAATTATTGACTGATAAGCATTATCCAAAACACCCAGTTAAGTTTCTACAAGGTTTTTTAATTTTTTTTTTTTTAATTTGCAAAATTAAAATGTTTGTCAAAAATTTTCAAGTTAGAGAATTTTAAAGTTTGCTCATAATGTTGTTATATATATATGATCAGTTTTCCAATATCTCTTGAAATTTATTTTGTTAATTTAGTTAATTTAATTTTTTTAATTTATAAGTATTACTTTTTTAGGATAAATTTTAATTAAAATAATTGTAAGTGAGTATATACTGTATACTCCCAAAAGCACTGTTGAGAATTAGTATTAAAATGGGTTATCAGATTTATTTTTCTTTTATTAATAATTAATAAAATTGTATAAATCGCTATTTATTTAGTTATATTATAAAGTGTTTGATTTAAGTTTGGTTTTATAGGTATTTATCACTGCATGATAATAAATATATCCGTTACTTTACGGGACATACAAAAAAAGTAGTTTCATTATGTGTCTCACCAATTGAAGATATGTTTGTATCTGGGTCACTAGATAAAAGTTTACGGCTCTGGGACCTAAGATCACCTAACTGTCAGGGATATATCAATGTTATGGGTAGACCTGTTGCTGCTTTTGACCCTGAAGGATTAGTCTTAGCAGCTGGTATAAATTCTGAAACATTGAAATTGTTTGATGTCAGGTATGTAAAACATAAGAATAATTTTATTGTTATTATAATACATTACTTTAAATAATAAGACTTGTATTTTAAGATAGGTTCCCAAAAAAATTTTTATTTTGAGTAAAAAAAAATATTATATTTTACAAGTATACAAATTAATTTAATATAACCTTACTATTTTTAATAAATTCCAGCAAGTTTAAACTTTTTTAGATAGTAAATTTATTTATTATACATAACAATATATTTAGTGATTAATTTAATTTTTTATTACTATGATATGTTTAAAATTGCAGATCATTTGATAAAGGTCCATTTATAACTGTAAAACTTCCCCAAGAAAAAGAATGTGACTGGACTGATCTCAAGTTTAGCCAAGATGGACGTACTATTCTTATACCTACTAATGGTTCACTGATTAGATTAATAAATGCTTTTAATGGTACTCCTATTCAAACATTTACGGGTCATTTAAATAACAAAGGTATTCCTATTGAGGCATCCTTCAGTCCAGATTCACAATATATATTCAGTGGTTCTACTGATGGTCGTATTCATGTTTGGAATGCTGTTACTGGTTATAAAGTTTGTGTCCTGAATGGTGATCATCCAGGACCAGTTCACTGCGTAAAATTCAATCCAAAATATATGATGATGGCATCTGCATGTACTAATATGGCATTTTGGTTGCCCTCAGTTGATGAAACAACCAATATGGTTTAAATTTTATACTTTAAAAGTTAAAAAGTATTTATCAATCATTTTCCTATGTTTAAATATAAATGTTTGACTTAATTTATTTCATTCCTTTAAAGAGAAAAGAATTTTTTATTTTTTAATTGACTAATAATTTACTTACTCAAACGGTAAATTTTAAATATCATGTGTTATAAAATTGTTGATGTATTTTTATTTTTATTATCATTTGATTATTTAAACACTAATGTAATTTATTAGGTGTTATTTAAAAATTTGAATAATGTATTTTAAGTAATAATGCTAATTTTATGTGTTATGTAACTATTTTTTTAAATATTTTTAAATTTTCTTAATTGACTGTTTCTTTGTGGGTTAACCATTTCTGTGTTTAAATTTATTATGATACTTTAAATCCAATCTTCATGACATTCAAGGAGATTAATAATAGTATCAAACATAAAAATAAAGACATTTTAATGTTAATTTTTTTAAATATTACATATTTGAATTCAATTATAAAAATAATTTTAAGGTAATTTTCTTAGAGCATTGTTGAATTTTATATTGTAAACTGGTAATGCTTGGTAAATTAAGTTAAACAATTTTATAATTACTGTATTAAATCATGGTGCTTTTTCATTTCAAAGTAATTTTAAATTTTGACATTTAATTTTTGCTCATTATAGAATTATAATGTATCAATTTAAAAAATTTCATACCGCCATAATAATTAAATGCTTAGTTATGAGTTTTTAATCTGGCATTACTTGTTAATTTACTTACAAGAAACATAGATATGTCAATCTAAAAGTGTTTTTAGTTTTCAAGTTAAAATAATTATACTACTTTTTTATATGCACTCTGCATTTTAAAATTTAATATAATACGTATTTGCTAAATTTTCATATAATATTTATTATATTGTGACACTTGGTTTTATTTTAAAAATCATTCTGGTATAATTTAAATGGTACCTATTAATTTTTTCATATTTGTAAATCAAAAATTAATCATGTATAAGTAATATTTATTGAATGTTTGTATAGACTTATCATTAATTAATTTAGAAGTACTAGAATAGTGTTTATTTGGTGATAATTGTTAAAAAATAAAACTAGTCGTTAATCATTCTGTAGATATATTTTCAAATTTAAAGATATTTATCATATCTTGCATTAACTTTTCTTAAGTGTCACAGCTTAATCATTGTATATACATGTTATTTCTAATGAATAAGAAAGCAAATTATCATCAATAGATATGTTAAATTGTTCAATTATTGTATTTATATAAAAAAAAACTATGTTGATAATAAAGTTGTTATTATCTGTATTGTGTGATCCAAATCTTAAAATTTCATTTTCTAGCTTCGATTTAAAGCAAAAAAAAAAAGAATTAAATTTTACCATAATGTGTTTGTTATTATTTTTTGGTCTGTCACTTCTTTTTCTCAGCTCTCAATGGATTGATTTTTTTTAACAATCGAAGAAATCACAAATTGTATGTAGTCGAAGAAATTACCCACAAAAATTGAAAACAATTTTCTGTAAATGGTGGAATTCATCATAAAATGTTATTATTTTTTAATTTCCCTTAAAAAATTTTTTTTTTTTCTAGAGTTTACTACACACAAATATTTATTTTTGTTCCGAATTTGAATTCAATGAAGAAAAAATTCTTAATTTTAATTTACTTATCTGAAGTAACAGGTCAACCAGGTTAAGGGTAAACTTTATCAGTTCATTAAAAATTATACTGATTCAAGCTGCTATATTACTCGAATTATGTGAAAATCTTGACATATTAAGTCGTGTAATTTTTTTAGATTTAAAAAAAAAAACCAGCACATGATTAAAATCACTATCATAAAAAACGCTTCGATGCAAATCTTTAAATAGTGTTTAATTTAAAAAAATTGGTTGATTATTCCGAAAGCTAACATGATCTGATATTTCCTTATTTATATCCTGATTAAGATTAAGTATGTCGAATAAAAAAGGAATATAAATATTATTTCTCATAAAAAAAATTGTGTTTATCCATACACTTTTCAATAAGTTATAGCATTATAAAGTTAAAAATTTAAAAAAGAAAATCGAGAATTTACACACCAAAATAGCATTTGGTATTCATTTTTACTGTGCAGACAAAATAAAGTCAAAATTTTTTTTTTAATATTAAAGTATGTAACACAAGCTTTAATTAAAGATATATATAAAAGTGTCAGTATTTCCGGAACACTTTCAAAAGTTAAGTTGAAAAAGTTAATTTTTTGTAAATAAGTTGTCATTTTAAATCCCTCCCTGTGGGCAGATAAAGGGTCAGATTTATAAAACAAATATATCAAAAGATAGGTAAAGACATTATGCATCTATAAAAAAAAATTATATTGATTTGTTCATTTTTGAAAAAGTTATGGTAGTTTTAAGTAAAAAAAATTTCGAAAATTACCGATTTTTAAATTTGTAATTTTTTTTGGAGATTTCCCCCATTTACGGGGAACGAGGGAAATTTTTCAATTTTTGAGGGTAATTTCTTCAACTAGATACGATTTGTGATCTTTTGACATATTGTTGAAAGAAATCGGTTCGATGAGATCTGAGAATAAGTGGTAACAGACACAAAAAAAAACACATCATAGTTAAATTAATATCTTCTCAGCTTTGCATTGAAGCTAAAAACGAATTTCGGTGTTTACTATTAAGGTAGATATATCAGAAATTGAACTTTTACCCAACTATTTCATTTGATAAGTTTTGCATTTTATAATGCTAAAATTATTTATATCTTTTCTCCTGAACGTTTTTTTGGTAAAATTATGTAAAAGTAATTGTTATTGATTTTTTTAAAAATTTTATTTCATTATAAAGAACAAAATTTTTCAGATAATGTTAGTATCAATAATTATAAAATTGCAGTTGGTTTAAAGTTAATCTTTAACTTTTATCTAATTTAAATTAATTTTAAATGTGTTGTACATTAAAAGTTATAAAAAATTAACTTTTCTTTGTACAAAAATAACAATTATATTCATTACTTTAGGATTAATTTTTTGTATAAATTATATTTATTTGTTATATTATTATTTTTTAAATATTTCTATATAAAATTGTATAATATTTAGTACCATATTGTTATCATTGTCAAAAAGTAATTAAGCGATAACTTATTAATTTTTTTTGGAACAATAAATTAAGATTCATATCTTATCAAATAACTTAGAATAATAATTTTTATGCAATTCTATTATTGAACCTTGTATTTATTTATTTTTATAAGTCTCTTCAAAGTTTTGTTGAATTAAAAAAAATAAAATTAAGTTATTTGGTGACTAATTGTACGACGGTAGCCATAACGGAATCATATTTAAGAAGAAACTCAAAAAAAGAATTACTCAATCAAATACAAATTTGATTTTCAATAGAAATTAGTAATATTTTATGTCAGAATATTAAATCATATATAAAATGTTTTGGATCAAATATTTTAATGTAGAAATGTCATTATCATGAAAACATTTTGTATTTTAATTGACTAATATGTAACAATAATTATTAGTGCGTATAGAAAGTCTAAATCCAAAATACCACAATAAAGACATTACTTTAAATAAATGAATTATCACGTATGCCTCATACTCCCGACCTGTATGGAATGTATCGTGAACTATGGTGAGTCTTAAGCTAGAAGGGATCCTATAAAATTTATTTTTCATTTTCTTTTGCAGTAAAAGCATAATTTAATTTATTCTGATTAAAAGTAGATTAATTTCGACTGTAAATTGAGCATTTTGAAAATCACATAACGCGAAGCTTTCAGGATTAATTTTGGTAGATTGAAAGAGACTTGGACAAGTTGATTGAAATACTAATTGACGACGAAAACGGGATCGACGCATAAACCACTCGATCGGAAATAAGTTCGATTTGTGGGCCTACAGTCCGTGGCGAAGAACATTCATCCACTCAGTTCTGCCTTCGAAGTGTTGTGAGATTGCTTTCTAAGTCTGCGGTTGCAAATTTCGACTACTAAAATTTCACTTCATTGTCTCAGCTGAATCTTCTAAACACCACTGCTCTATGTGCAAAACTCAGAGAATTGAATACGTTTTCGTATGAGTTGTCCATTTTTGGAGTACAATTGGAGTGTGTTTAATGATTAAGGAGGCGAACGTCCCGGGCCTCACGAGCTTTAGTGGCCAATCTATAATTTTACTAGCCTCCTAGTCATGATTAGTGACAGAGTTTTCTGGGTTTTTTTTGCTCATAAATTTTTTTTCTGTAGTGATATTTCCATTGAAATATAAGTCCTAATCGAAAGGTTCATCCAGACAGCCGCTCAGATGGAGATAATTGCAATTTGTAACAGACGTTTGCCGATGAAGTGTGTTATGATTAGTTGTGATCGCTACCATTCTTTATCGCGTTGCTGTCGTTCAATCAGTAAGTCAGAGTTTAATAATTTTCAAACATTTGACTGCTGTGTTTTGTTCGAATTATCATTTTCTTTGTTTCTAATTTCATATTTATTTTATTATTCAATTTTTTTTTATATAATTTCAATTTTTGTACTGGATGTACTTTATAATGTAATTTTTTTAATCTTTATTTATTTAGTTTTACTCGCATAGTCAAATATCATTTGTAAAATACTATGTCTGTTGTTTTCTAAACGAAATAAAGCTAAGTCCAATATTTAAAAATTTTGTGTGTACATTTTATAACATAACATTATAAACAGCTATCTGGTTATTAACCTGAAGGTATATTTGAAACTAGTAAACTTCAAATTAATGTTGGATAGAGAGCGCCTTCAGTAAAGACTTACCGGACCAGTTGTCATAAACACCGTCATATATATCACATCACATGACAGTTGATCTCTAACGTCTTTGCTACTACCCATCACTTGTCAACCTATTACAGTAAATTTGGCGTCAACTATCTACCGTGTCAATTGCATACAGTCCACTTTACCTAATTAAAAATTAGGTTGTTGCATAAATTTCGAGGAGAGGGTCATGTCTCTCTAGCCAATTGTGGCGTGGGGAATATATGTGTAGTAGTTTTTGCCAGTATAAAATCCTGTATGGTTACCTATCCGAGAGCACTCGGTTATATGTGTTGTTTAACATTAGAGCTTATTAATAGTTAATGTGTTCACTAAATATCTACATTTATATAGATATTTCCTTTATTAATAATACTGTACTCTACAACTTGTTCCAAAAAAATTACTAGACTTATTAGTTAAATATTTATATTTTTACTGATCATAAAATTAGTTTTTGTTTAAAAGCTAAGTACGACATTTTACAATTGTTTTAAAAATATGTTAGGATAAATTTTATTATCACGTTAATAAAATATATAAAATTATTAATTTTTCATTGTATGAAGTTATATTAGTTAAAATCTCTTTAAGAACTTCTCCATTTCATTTTTTTGAAATCAAACATTATTTATCCTGTTATGGTCAGATGTCCTTTATTTCCTCTGCTAATTACGCCCTTTTGCTTACAGTCACCGACTAATATAAAATCTATTGTTCCTGGATTTTTCATGTTTTTAATACGGTGTTGCATACTATAATTATGGCACAAGTGATAAGAATTTTTCCAAGAAAAAACATTAATAGAACTTACTAGACGTTTCTTTGCATATCAGCAAATTCCACTTGACCGCATATTCTTTTTGCAATAACTGTTACAAATTCTATCAAGTATGGAACTTCCAATAAAATGTCACCCTATAAATAAAATTGTATTTACAATATAGATATTCATTATTTATGTTAAAGATTAGAAACTAGCTTTCGAAAATTCCAGTTGATTGGACACAGAAATTAGCAAAAAATTGTCCAATCCGTTGGTCATCTGCAAACCTGAAATATACTTTAAGGGCACCACGTCTTTTGTTTTGCTATACTTATCTGTTTTTTCTACAAATACCAGGACATCCTTGGTTACGATTAACAATCTTTTTCTAGGCTTATATCCCCTCCTATCAAATTTTGTTATCCATGAAGCGTACTATTGATAAAGAAACTTTGTAATTCATAAATACAAGACTTAAATAGTCGGAGTTTTGAATGGAACTTACTAGGTATTCATTTATAGTTCCTTCATCAAAATCATTTGACGAAGTGGATAATTTAAAATCTGTCATAAATCCATCGCGATTCACTTGAAATTTGTAGCGTACACTTTCAGGGTAAGAAGCTTTCTTCCCTAACAAAAATTTAAAAAAAATCTCGCATTGTTCGTTGTGTTTTAATCGAAAAAATATTTTGCGTAATAATAATAACACCTTTAAAAATATCAGATGCATGAAGCTTAAATTTCAACTGTTCGTATAATTCTGGGTTTTTGCCCAACTCCAATCGATAAACCTGAGATAGCCAAACGCGATGTAACTTCTTAATATGCGAGAGAGCCTATAAATTAAACATAAGTATATATTAAAGCCAGAAAAAGAAGTTTTTTTCAAAGATTAAACTATTGGTTTTTTCATTTTTAATTCATTTATATTTTCATAATGTTACGATGTAAAATTAATAAAACAAATTATATTATTGCTTGGATAAATACAAAAATTTTATTACTTCAGAACAACAATCTGGAGGTTCGGGCCATGATTGATCAGATATTAAGTTTTTAGGGAGCGATTTGGATAAGGATATTAAAAATCTTGCTCTCTTGTACCCTATAAACCGATGGTTATACTTATTGGGAGGTTCATTCCTAGTGATAAATCCTCTAATAAATCTAAAAATAAATAAACACAAAAATTATTTAACCAATACCGCATTCGCGGTCAAAATACTTTCGAATAACCGCCATGGCGTTTAATATTTTCCGGTATTTCCGGATGGCCAAAAATCGCCTGACATTTTTCTGAATCAATATTACTCGTCCGGAAACGATTTCGTACTCTTTGATTTTGTGTAATCGTCTTTGTCGTTGTCGCTCTTTAAATATTCGTTGACATTGTATGGTAACATCCTTTAACTTCAAGAACCTCTTACGAGTTATATGTCCTCTCCATAAGGACTGAATTGTGGTAACCAATATGTGTCTTTGACTTTGAAAACGAGTTTCGATATCGAACACAGTTTTTGGGTGTTTGATTAATATTTTATTTCTACAAATAAAAATATAAATACGTGTAGCTCATTTTATTAAATATTTTCAAGTGTAACTGCACTTGCTTTCCAATTTTATATTCATTGTCAGTGAATCCTAAATATTGAATCAGACGTCTTACTGCTTCAACAGGCTTAAACTTTTTGTTCCAATGTGGCCACGTATCTGGACATAAACACTTGTATCTTGTGAGAAATGACACAAATAAATCACGAAACGCAAATCCTGCTTTTCGGATTCGTAATATTTCTCCCAATCCAAGAAACGTAACTTGATTCCGAACTAGTTCCCAGTTAAATTCAGCTATACATATTAAGTTATTAGCGAATAATTTAAAAAAAACATTAGACCATCATGGTAATACTTGGGTCTTTAAAGTCATTCGGTTTGATGCATCTAATATATGATGGTTGTTTGGTTATAAGTGTTTTAATGAGTTGATTCAAACTTCTTTTAAACTGTTTTAATGTAGTTTCTGGTATTTTTTTGTTCGGTGTTTTGCAGTCAGAAAATATCACCTGGAAAATATTTTCAGTTTTATATACTTTTTATTTTTATACACTACTATATCTTGTATAATTCAAAACTAAAATTATTATTATTTCTAAAAAGCCAGTATAAAAATTGAGAATACATAAAAAAAGATTAACATCATAACTATTACTACCATGATATTTCTTATATTTTTTAGTTCACGATGTGCTTAGAATAAATAACAAAATTCATAATTTTATATTAGAAATCTTTACATTTTATTTTATTATTTATTATTCACTGATGATTTGATGGTTGATTGAAAGAGATTTTAACCTTTATAAAGGATATGTTATGTCGTCATATAAAATTAACTAATAAATTATATGAAAGCTATGTAATTAAAAAAATGGTTAAAAATTAAAAATAATCTCATCTTGTACAATTTATTAAAATTTTAAAATAGCTATAAATTTGTTTTTAAAATATTAGAGTGAACTATTACTAATATTTACAACACTATAAATTAAAGTTAACTTTATTTATAGTCTTCTACTACATAACAAACCAACAAAAAAACAAATCTGTATCAAGTGTTAATTATTTAGATCAGAAATTCATTCTTAGGTATAGAATTAATGTTTTGATAATCTAAACTCGTGATAATTATTATCATGAGTAGGTAACTTAGTGAATTCATTATTTTATTAGTATTAATATATTCATATAAATATCAATAATAAAAATTGTATAAGTAAATATAAAATTATTAAGTAATGGAAGGGTATATGATCGTAGATAATAATTATTAGTAACGTACTATATTGAAATGTAGTGATAATTATTATTTTCGTATTTTAAGGAAATTAAATCAAATGATACAGTTTTTAAATGTTGATTACATACCTTAATAATTTCATTAGTAGATTTTGACATTACTTGACTTAAGTCACAAAACAGAGGGTCATTATTTTTTTCCAGAAAATCACTCGCGTCGTATCGTACTGTGCCTGCAAAATGAACTATTTCGAATTCCTAAAATATGTATTATAATATTAATTATGGGCTCGTTAAAAAAATATAGTATTAGTGTAATAAAATAGTAAATGTAACCATAAGCGCTATTGCTTTTTTCTTGGACTGTAAGTCTGCTAATTCATAGCAAGTAAAGTACTCATGGTCTTTGATTCTCTCTGATAACTCATGCAAGAATTTTACGCTTGAAGCATCTGCTTGTATTAAGTTTTCATCGTTCAAACACGATATGATCCCTTAAAAATTAATACATTGATAAGTTAATATATATAAATCCATGTAATGTATATTTATAGATTTTTAGATTATTATACCTCTATTTCTATCTTCAATCATATCACATATGATTTTGTTGTCAAAATACTTGACTGGTGTCCATTCAACACCTTCACTCAGGTATTCTTCTTGTTCTGCTTTAAGTGTCATGTCAACAAAAAATTTTTGCATTTTTTCATTGCAATAGTTGATACAAAACTGTTCGAAACTAAAAAAAGTGAGTTATGTTATCATTATTATTAAATCACAAGTGGATTATTTAACATTTTTAAAAAAATATAAGGTCTTAAAAATTGTTGCTAACCCGTTGTTTTGTAAAATTTCAAATCCATAAATATCGAGTATGCCAATAGATTTTGTTTTGTTATTTCGATTGGTTTTCCTTGGAGTTATAGATGTAGGCTGTAAAGTTTTGTTTATATGTGATACTAACCATTCAAACAATCTACTATAAATCGCTTTGGCCAATGCGTCTCTAGCATATATTGACGTTTCCAAGTCCAGTTGTGATCGTATCACTTCACCATTGGCTTCTATTGTTTTGTTAGTTAGAGCGAAGTTTAAATCTGCTTCTGGAACGCCCAACAACTGCAAGTATAGTTTTCAAATAATGAAATAATATCTATCTGAAACTATTTCTATAATTACTAATCAGTTAATCGTTTTAACTACTAAGCTATTCGAAACTAAATTATAAATTTTTAGCGAATATAGTATATGTATACTTCAGTAACTATCCGCATTGTGCTAGTGTTATCGATTTTACATTTTCCGTCGCACTGGTTAATTTTTATGTTTCCTAAGTGCAAAATGCTAGCGACAATTTTTAAAATATTCATCTTTTCATCTAGATCAAACTCGAGTACTTGTAATGCCTCTAAAGTCTCTCTATACTTAATTGAATCTTCTTCGTCATGCTAAATTTTTTTAGGCATATTATAGTAAAATAAGAGAAAAAATTCTAATTTATATTTACGTTTTTTTGCGGGTGGCTATTGTCATAATTGTATCCATAAGGCTTTAAATAAGAGTAATCTACTTCTTTATCAATTTCAAGTAATTGTGTTAAGTATTCGTCTGCTCCATTTATCAACTGGTAGAATATATGATAATTTCTCTCTTGACCTCTGTGCTTTACTACTCGAGATTTTTCTAGTAAATAGTTCAAGACATTTCCACCAATAGGTTGCCCCTTAAACATTTTTTAACATAGCTTTATTACTTGAGGAATTTCTACTTGCGCGCGCGTTTTATGAGTTATATTATTTAAATAATTGTACTATTGATTTATGTTTTCTATAGAAATTATTTTCACAATTTATTTCTAGTCTTTTTATGAAAGTATGTTATATTAAAAATACAGATATTATATTACTTTTATGCTTACTGATTGGTCAAATTGGACATCCATATACTTTCCAAACCTACTAGAATTATCATTGTTAATAGTTTTAGCATTACCGAATGCTTCTAAAACTATATTGGACACTATAAGCTTATCTTTAATTGTCTCAACTCCACGGGATACAGTAGCGATGAATTGCAAAACTTTTTTGGACGTTTCTGTCTTTCCTGAACCGGATTCTCCTAAATAAAAAACATAAGATATGATTTTAACGGGTTTATCGTTTAGAAATGAATAACATATGTGTTATATAGTATTTAAAATTCTGTAACATTATCATAAAACGTGAATAATTTCCATAATATAATATAAAGGATGTCCTTTAAAATTTAACACTAAATAGTTTAATGTTTTGATACGTTATATATTAGTTATTAAGTCGTATAGAAACTCTAATTATCGATTATAAATTATAGAGTATTACTCTATATGAAAACAGTTAGTAATCTGAGCTGAAAATTAAGAAGTAAATTTTATTTATATCCATTTACGTAATTTATTGTTCGTATTGTTAAATTTAATTTATTGAATATGATCAAATTTTTTTGTTGTTGAGATGATTGGAAAATTCGATTATCCCGTATTATTCTAATAATATTTTTATCATAATACCTGATATTAAAATACATTGTTCTCGATGATATTCGTTCAATGATTTGAATGCATTAGCTGATGTTGCGAAACTATAAAATAAATAAAATTTTTTATGATTTCATTATAAAAATATATCTAAAATATGAAATGAAACAAAAAAATGTCGAGATAATAAAGTATATTAAATGTTAATTTTTTTAAAAATTTGTTTCAAATTATAAATACGAATGATCTATCCGAATCTTAAAAATGCAAATGCTTAAATAATAATGAAAAAAAATCTACATATTTTCATACTCTTATTGTTTTTCTTTATACTCCCTTTTTTCCTGTTAATCGAATATTAAGTTACTAGGAGTTGAATGCAATATTTTTACATAAATCTTCTTCTTCTGCGTCTTCCTCGCCTTAATCCCAACTACTTGGGGTCGGCCACCCTTATCCTAAACTTCCACTTGACACGATATCCCACATTATCTACGCTCACATCAGCTGTCCTCATATTGTATTCAATAGCATCCCTACATTTTTTTTTTTGGTTTTCCTCTACCTCTTCTTCCTTCAACATTCATTTCTATGATTGTTCTTACAGCTTCCGATTTTCCTCTCCTCATAACATGACCAAACCATCTAAGTCTATTTTCTCTTATCTCACCTGTTGTCTTCGTGTACATTCGAGATGAGACAATTCGCCTAAGTTTTGTTCAGGACACCTCATACTATTTGACAAAAATTTTACGCTGGCTGTCGACCTGATGCAACCTCATTAGTCGCTTCTTACGTGTGACAGAGGGCCGTGGAAGTATTCTTATCCCATATCTACAGGGATAACTATTTTTACATCAATAGATTTAGTAAATCAGAAAAAGTTCATCTTTACGTAAGGATCCGTTATAGATGAGTTTAACAAACTTTATTCAAAATGATAATGGTTTATTGATTTATTAATAATTAATAATTAACTCACACATGTGGCATATCTTCAACGTCATTTTTGCTGTAGTACTTGAAAATTAATTTGTTGGTGTATATTGATAACATTCTGTACGGATTCACGCTAACTAAAATATCACCAATGTATGTCTGTGGAGCAAACGTTGTGAAATTTAGTTATGTTTAAGATGTTATTAAACTGTAGAATTTCCCTCTAAGTATTTCTAGAAAAACTTGTTAACTTAAATGGGGAAGATTTTATTATATAATATTGTACTGATGTAGAGTATAAGTCGTTCAACATACAATAGTTTGGTATATTTAGTATCATATTCGCATGAACAAAATATTATTTCGATTCACGACGTCTGCGAAACAGATAATTTTCTAGTAGTTTTCAATGATTTATAATAATATGTGTTCAAGCGAATAACTACTGTACCATGCATATTGCCGTTTTTATTTCAAATACATATATATACCTTCATTGGATATTAAGTATAGGATCTATAAACGTAGTAATATTATGACATAAATGATTATAGCATCATTTCTCAACACCACTTACGGGGCTACGTCGTTACGCACTTCATACAGCACTTACAAAAATGTGTTTTTTATTGTAATCCTACCATCGACAGTCTTTGGTGGACCGATTATATTCTTTGTTTTTATTTTACATCATAAAATAAAAAAACGTAATATTAGCTAATGATTACGTCTATAGTTATTCCTTTGAACATTATTGTTACACTTTGTTTTAAATAGTTTCTATTCGATTTTATCACGTGGTATAAGCCGTTAGATATACTTTAGTATTTTTTATTTAAAAGTAAATTTTTTTTATAATAAAGTCTTAAACTATTTAAAACTAGTATATTACCTAGAATAAACTACTTATCATACGAGTTGATAATTTTGTAATTTAATTTTATATTCAAAAACAAAAAAAAACAATTATTATCTATAGCTATTTTATTAATCTTTATAAGTTATAGACACATGAAGTTTTATATTATAGAAAATATTATTAGTGATGTGCATAAAAATAATTGGTATTCTTCATTAGAAAAATTAAGTAGTAGTCTAAGTAAGCTATCGACTTAAAGTAAATCTTTATACTTAAATACTTTATACCTTAAATTTTGTTATTTAAAACTGTGATATATTCGTGATTAAAATAATTATGTGATAATTAAGAGGCTAGTGTTAGTTAAAAATTTAGTTTAAAATTCTATAAACAATTATAGTTATAAAAAATATTGTTACTTACATAGATTAATCCCTTTTGAAATCGCTTTTTTAGGTTTCTTATTAATTGATTTTCATCACACTTGTTCAATAATACCATGTTCGCCATTCCGTCTGAATCCATTGTTCCATAAGCCATGTAAATTATTTTTAGGCAAAGAGTTACTTGAATTCAATAAGATCTACTAGTATCAAAACGCTTTAATTATGCGTTAAAGCTACAGGAGTATTCTTATTACTAGCAAACACTATACTATACCTTAATCGTTTGGTTGATATTATCTTTAATTTTATCTAACTTAATGAAATGTTTTATTATTATATGATGAATAATGTGATTAGGATTTTAAGAAAATTTTATAATTAGCAGGTTATGTTAAGGGTTTAGAATTTTTATTGGTAGTGATTAATTTTAATCGCCCTCATTTAAAAATGAAATGCATTCTATCTAATGTTATAATTCGTTTTTTAATGGGATAGCTAATTGTTTATTATATGTTTTATTGTATTGTAGTTTCTATAGAGGTTCGAAATATGACAACTGCATTATTGATAAATACACTTGTTTTTATTAACTAGATATTGTATTATTAGCAATGATAATTATTTTATCTGACTTATACAAAAAACTAAATGATAGCCGTTTGTTAAAAAGTTTATAAGATGTCCGATTTCCTAAATATATTGTATTCACTATTGGTATTCCTGCAGTGTTTCTCAACCTAGGGATCGTGACTATTTTAGGGGTTACAAACTAGATATTTGGAGTTGTTAAAATATGATTCAATCAAGAAAATATACAAAGTGGTCTGCTATATTTGGAAAATCCCTATAAATTTAAATTTAAAAATATAGAAATTATTATATAATAGTACCATTACAGAGCGATCTAAAATCAAAAATGTATAGATATTATTTATTTATAACACTTAATGATACGCAGAAAAGAAGTATTTTAAGAAATTTTACTACATAATTTTTCTCTTGTTTATCACAAAACTGCGAAGATGTTACCACTCGCCTTGGATTATTCAAGGTAAGGAAATCCTATTTAAGAAACCGCTATTAACAGACAGCTATAGTCTTGTAATATGAATAAAACCCAGCACAGGGGGGTCGCGGCACAGTTGTGACGTGGTATAGTTGGATCAAGTATAATGATATCTGACAGTGATTAAAATCACTATCAAAAATAAACGCTTCGATGCAAATCTTTAGATAGTGTTTAATTTTAAAAAAATTGGTGTTTTATTCCAAAAGCTACTTGATCTGCTGGTTCCTTA